ATGATCACTATGATGTGCTTTTATACTCATCCCCCACCCCCCACAACACCACCACCTACGCAGGATACGCCCCCCCATCCCCCCTCATATCACTCCCCCCCCTTCCACCCCTCCCTCCCCCCTTTTGATAACCTGCCCCCGCCCAAAAAGCCCCCTCTCCCACCCCCCACAACCTCCACCTTATGCCCCAACCCCCTCAACCCCCCCACCACTACTTCATCAACCCCCTCCTCCACATAAACAGTAACATCCAACACCTCCCCCTCATCCGGCATCCCCGCCCCAATACACACCCTCGGCGCATCAAGTGCCTGCTGTGGATTATACCCAAACGCCCGCATATTCAGGAGGACTTGCACGTGGCCTTGGGGTTGCATGAAGCCCCCCATTACCCCGAGGACGCTGTGGAGGCTGTCGTCGTGCGCGCGGGTGGCTAGGGCGGGGATGATGGTGTGGTATGGCCGTTTCCCGGCGGCAAGGACATTGGGGTGCTCCTTGTCCAAACTAAAATTCGCCGCGCGATTCTGCAGACTAAACCCACACCCCTCCGCCACGATCGCAGAGCCAAAACCGGTGTAGTTGCTGTTGATGAAGGACGCGGCGTTCCCCTCACTGTCCGTTACGGCGAAGTATACGGTGTCGCAGGAATTCAACGCCGGTGATCCGCGCGTGGGCACCGGTGTCGCGCGGGCGGGATCGAAGAGCGCTGCGCGGCTAGCGAGGTACTCCGGGGAGAGGAGTTCCGCGGTGGGAACGCGGACAGCGTTGGGGTCTGCGACGAACCACGAGGCGTCTGAGAAGGCGATGCGGAGGGCTTCGATGATGGCGTGGAGGTAGGGGGTGGTATTATGATCTTCCGGCTTGAAAGCCGGGATCGTGCCTGCGGATTCTAGGGACTCGAGGATACCCAACGCCATAAGCGCGACGATGCCCTGGCCGTTGGGGGGGTGTTCCCACAGCTTCACGGCGTGGGACGTGTCTGCAGAGTACGCTTTCCCGGCATTCTGTCCATTGAATGTCAAGGCGATCGGAGAGACGTGCTCGGTTCCCAAACTCGCATGATTCGACAAATCAGCCGCCGTGAGACGTCCCCCGCGATCAGCGAGGACCTTGACGACCGCCTCGCCCACCCGACCGCTGTAGAACCCTGCCTTCCCTTCCGTAGCTAATGCGCGGAAGGTAGCGGATAAAGTGGGGTTGCGGAATAGCTCGCCGGGGCCGGGGGCGCGCACGCCGTTGGGGGAGGAGCAGTCGGATTTGAGGAGTTCGGCAAAGTTGGGGGAGGCGGCGCGGAGGCTGGATTCCCCGCGTTTCCACTGCGAGGGGGGTTAGTATGGGGAGGGGGTTTAAGGGGGGTTTTGGAAGAAGGGGGGGCCTACACATGCGGCCGCGATTTCAGACACAGGGAACCCCTTCTCTCCCAGCTCTATAGCCGGAGCCAGAATCTGCCCCAGCGATAGTTTTCCGCTCCCAAACCTCTCAACAGTATCCACCCACCCCGCAGCAGCGCCCGGAACCGTAACAGCATGCACGCTATCCAATGGTATCGAGCCCTCCTGCCCCTCCTTGAGCCCGAGATCCCCGCGGATAGTTTCGAGCGAGCAGTCTGCGCCTGCGCGTCCGGAGCCGTTCATGGCGGAGACTTTTTTGGTCGCGGCGGAGTAGTAGAGACAGAACATGTCGCCGCCGATGCCGGTGCTGCAGGGCTCGGTCATGTTCAGTCCGGCGGCTGGGGAGGGGGTTAGAGAGGGTGGTGGTGGTGGTGGTGCGGTGGGGGGAGGGGGGGCATACCGACTGCTACTGCGGCATCCTGTGGTGATGTTAGGGAGGTGTCTTGGGTGGGCGATGTTGGCGGACTTACAGCTGCGTTTCCTCCTTGTTGTAAGACTCTGAGACCGCATCTTGCTGCTAATGGTTGCGTGCAGGCTACGATTCCGTCGGTGCTGTGGACGACACTCCTTCGGCTTGGGAATTGGGCAAACGCGGGGTTTGAGGACGGCGGGATGGCTTCTGCGTTTAGAGCCATCTTGGGCGCTTATAGTTGTCTGTAGCTGTAGTAATAGATATCTTCTCAGTATGCTTGTTGAAGTCGTCTGGATTGCGCCAAGTTCGTATTATGCACCCAGTAGATTCCAAGAGCATAGACGGAAAGCTTCACCTTTTGAAAGAGATCCAGGAGTCAAACAGAACCCGATATAGTAGACTACGGCGTCGAACCCCCGAAGCCTAACAGCCACCCCGCTATGATACATGGAAGTGAGGGGTAGTGGGATAAACAGTCCTGTCCGAAGGTGGGAAGCCGTTGTACCCACCGTGGGGCCATATGCCATCATGCCCGCAAGGTAACATGTGGACGCCGAAACTCAAAAATCGGCATCCTCTACCCCGGCCAAGGTTCGGAGGCGCATCCGCATCCCCGTATCCCACGCCGATATAACATAACATCACACAGCAAGCCAGTTGTAACACATTCTGCACTCGTCCCCGACTTATCTGTCGAAATGAATTCTGCCAGGGCGGTGATGGTACGGCCTATCATTTCTCCGCCAGGGCCCGAACATATTTGGCACGGGTTCGGAATAACCTCGCGGCTTGGGGGGTTGCACTTCCGCGACCTAGATAATTATCGCTGTGATTTAAGTATCCCAGCATGATTCGAAGTCCGTGGCTATGTCGCAGATGCATTACCGCACTCTCCAGGCCAGCTAGGCGGCAGCAGCCTATCCGCTTCCAAAGCACAGGTATGACCAATCCAATCCCCCCCAATGCGCAAGACCACCCGCTAACATCCCCAAGCTACGAGCAATGAATTCATCAGCCCCGCGCTCCTCACCCGCGCCCGCTCCCTCACAAATGAACATGCCTTCCTGAGCGCCAAAACTAGCGACACCTTCGACAGCAAACTCGCCAAACGCATCGGCGAGCTGCAACCCATAGCCTCCTCCCTCGCCTCGCTCGAGACAGCCACCAACTCCCTGGCCGAGCTACACGCTCTCCTCTCCGACCGCACCACCGACCCCGAGCTGCGCGAACTGGCGGAGGAAGACCTGGCAGCTACGAAATCGGAAGTCGCTTCCCTCTCCCAGAACCTCAAGACCGCCTTGACCCCGATACACCCCTTCGCCGCCCTGCCATGCCTGATTGAGATCAAGCCCGGCGTGGGAGGCAGCGAAGCTAATCTCTTCGCTGGTGACCTGCTGCGCATGTACCGGGCGTACTGCGCGCGTCGCGGCTTCCAGGCATCGTTGCTCAAGTACGAGACTACGGACGGTACGACGGGCGCGGAGTCCGAAGCCCCGATCTTAGAAGCGATTATGGAAATCGCAGATGCAGGCGCGTATGCGGAACTCCGCTGTGAGTCCGGCGTGCACCGCGTGCAGCGCGTCCCCGTGACAGAGGCGAAGGGGCGGACTCACACGAGTGCCGTGGGTGTGCTGGTGCTGCCTAGCATCCCGACGACCGGGGGGGAGAAGTCTATAGGGGAGGCTGATCTAAATGATCCCGAGAGCGATTACTACGTCAACACTACGGATGTGCGGGTTGATGTTATGCGGGCTCGGGGAGCGGGTGGTCAGCATGTTAACACGACTGATTCCGCGGTGCGATTGACGCATATTCCTACAGGAACGGTGGTAGCGATGCAAGACTCGCGATCTCAGCACAAGAACCGCGAGAAAGCGTGGAATATCCTGCGCGCGCGCCTGGCGCAGGCGAGGCGGGAGAAGCGGGAGGAGGAGGTGCAGAAGGTTCGTCAGGCGGCGGGGGGCGGGACGAAGTTGGGGAGGGGAGATAAGGTAAGGACGTATAATTGGGGACAGCAGCGGGTGACGGATCATAGGAGTGGGGTCAGTGTGTTTAATTTGGATGAGGTTATGGAGGGGGGGGAGGAGCTGGAGAGGGTCATGCAGAGTGTGAGGGCTTGGTTGGGGGAGAGGGATATTGAGGATTTGGTGTTGGAGGAGGAGGCGAAGGCAAAGGAGGCGGGGAAGGGGGGTGGGAAGGGGAAGGGGAAGGAGAAGAAGTAGGGGGGGTTTAATGAATATTGTAGAATACTGTACACTACGACGACCTAGAAAACCATAGAGAAGCATATACATACCCGGGCAATTAAAACAAGCGCTGAGCTCACCCTTATCCACCATCACCCAAAAGTCATCATACGTCCTCAACGAGCAAGGTAAGGCGAAGCCGCTCAAGTCGCAGCTGCATAAATTATTATCTAACAACCATGGCCCGACATCTGCAGAGCAGAACTGAGCGGCCTTGAATCTGGGGAGTTCAATGTTTGGTCCGCATTGTGGTTTCTTCGCATGATGAGCGTATTGCCGCCCCGCATCTCGACGACTACGACGACGACGCGTTGGAAAACAGCTAGAGAGCCCACGGTTTTGAAAATTTCTTGAATGGTTTGAAATGGCTGTAGCCGTGCCGATGATGCCTAGTCTCGTTCCGTCAAGTTTTCCAGCAGCATCACTAGGCCACCTTGTCGTGTGAAATGCGTCGCCTTTGAAGTTGTGGACACCTGGAATGTTTGGGAGAGTAGGCTCGTTCAAAATACCCATGCAGGTAATCAAATATCGTGCTTGGAAAATCGGCAAGTGTTGGCTCTGAAATGTTGCAGTCGTCTGGATCTATAATGCAGGGCTTACTTTGGCATAATGCTGTTAGGCGCTCTCGAGCCTTGAAACTATTAGTATTTGTGATGTTATAGAATGAGTTTGTACCATAGGAAAGTACTCACCCATTAATAATAACGCTATCCTTCTCGCGACCTGTCAGTGTCAGTCTCAACCTCCGATTGAAATCTAGTAATCCTAAATCTCCAGTCTTAAACCACCCGTCCGGTGTGAATGCTGCCTTCGTGGCCTTCACATTGTTGTATAACCACTGAAGACAGACGGACCGAACACCTCGAGTGATCCCATCTCGTTTACGCTCGCCTGCTCCCATCCTGACGGGTGATTCTCATATTGATTGCTTGGTTCGCCTCACCAAGCACAATCGACACCATGTTCGATACCGTACTGCGGGCAGTCGACGACGTTATAAATGCAACCTGCACAAGTCTCTGTCATGCCGAAGCCGGGCCTGATAAGCTTCATGGGAGCACCGTATTGAGATAAAAGGCAAACTCTGCTCTGAACAGTCTGGGATGCTAATATGCTGCGTCTCGCTTGGTAGTCGATAACACTAAGGTCAAAGCTGGGAACAACAAGGACAAGCTTAAGATATATTACGGAGGCATCGGTTGTTACTTCCAATCGGCCCTGCCCAACAAGACGCTCTTAAACCAGGCTACCAGCAACTTCGATCCTCAGGATGGAAAGTAAGTTCCCCTTGATCTCTCTAATCATCTCCAGGTCCATCTCAGCGCTACCCAAGTATTCCCAAACTACACAGTCCTCTCCCAATTGACTCCCTTTCTCTCACAGGCTCGAAAGCGACGATTACCCCTCACGACCTGTGAATGCGAACGGACATTTTGTTGACGATGGCTCTTGTAGTTGGTGTTATTGTCTGTACCGTAGGAACGAGCGTAACAAGGCCTATGAGAGCTTTTTGGTGTTTGAGAGTAAGGGGATGATAATTGGGCGAGTTGGGTTTAGAAGCAGCACAATCTGATTTAATGCTCGGGGAGGCCATGTCTTCTATTCAGCTGGTTAGGGAATACTCGGTGGTTTCACCCCGCTATCTAAAGCTCAATGACTATACTACAATGACTGCATAACGATGACGGTGGCGCTGAGACCAAGGCCAGGGTGTACTTTTGTCGTCATTAAAACGTAGTAACGTCACCTACGAAGACAATAGCCTTGGCATCAGCCCATTATTAGATCGACGAGTCAGTAGACTGCATTTCTGCATTAGATCATGCATTCAATCGTGCATTGGATCAGGGGCACGGCAACCTAGGCTCTGTTGGCACACACGATGCTACTTCACATCTGTGAAATCACCATACATCGGTGGGGCGACCTGATGTCTCGCAATTGCGCCTTTTTGGCTTGCGCTTGGAGCGGCGCAGCGGTTCGGACGGCTCGGGCCTATGATGCGGAGCCCATCTGGTTCGTTGGGATCATCTGTCAAAGACTGATAGATCGGTTCCATCTCAAAGTTACCTAATTTTGAGATGGAACCGAGTACTTAGTGGCAAGGCGCTTGTCATGTCAGCTGCACATGCCTACCGAACCCACTTGGCGCAATTTCTTCTTTTTCGCTCATGGTCGGTAAAACATATCACCCATAATTTCCAAACTTCCAGTGCGGGGAATATTATCATTATACAGTGCTTGCGGCGTGAACGCCTATGGCGTCGTCTGGCACCAGCCTAGGATTGGGCATAAAAGCCACGTCTCCAGGACGTCCTATCATTGCCCCCTCACTTGGCCTTCTCGTGGGTGTTTCCATCCATGTATTCCCATATTCCTCGTCCCCTCTTGTTCATATCCATTCCGTGTCCATGTCCATAACCTCGTATCTCATCCTTCTAGCAGCCCCGTCTATTGCCTGGCCTCGCCCCTGGTTTCGCCCAATAATACACATGCTATCTATCGCACCCAGCCAACGATGCCGTAAACAAAATCGTGAAGTTGTGCACATTGAAGACAAAGCGCTCTTCGTATATCCCTATAACCATCAAGCCATCAAGGCGTTTTCTATCGTCAAGTGAAATAAATGTCTTCGTGCAGGTTCTCAACGCCGACTCCGGAGCCAGCGCTGCACGTTTCGCAAGGATGGGTCCTCGTCCGTCCAGCGGCCCACGGTGTAGTCCGAGTTGCGCATTAAATTGTATATGTTCTCATCAGTGACTGTTGCGAGTTCCTGTATTATCTCTGTCAGTGTCACATACTCATTCCCATCGTAGTGCCTCTGTGTCAAAATCCGTCGAAGACTGAGGAGAAGACAGAAACTGGCAAGTATAGGAAGGTGGAGGAACGCACAGCTCGCAGAGCTTGGTCGCAACACACCAATGCAGGCATATGTGATGGACCAGGCCTCATCCCCAGTAACACGCCATCCCGCCATGCGACCCAGCGCATGGCTGCGCTCTGCCTCATGCATATCTTCTGCGCCTCGTGCCGCCGCGAAAAACTATCCAGCATCACCTGCCTCAACTCCGCCTTCTCTTGCTCCGCCTGGCCGCCTCTGCCGGTCGGCACGCGCGTGTCGGCCGCCACGTTCAGGACATGCTGCCCGTCCATGGAGCACTGGCGCAGCGCCGCGTAGCCTTCGGTATAGAAGTCATCCGGGTGGGGAGGGTCGCTGGATACTGAGGCGATGCTGTGCTGGAGGGCGCGGAAGTCGGAGAGGAGGTCGGCGACGCGGGTTGCCCGCGCATCATTATCTGGCAGGTGGATCAGTCTCGATTGCCCCGTGCGGTGGCAAGGTGGCAATTTATGAACATCTTGTCAAAGTTGACAAGAACGCGATCAGGGTGGCGGGAAACGGGCGGGAGCTTAAGAAATTGCGGGATACTTACATCCGTCTGCCATTGGGGCGATAAAAATATATCCGTCAACGGATATACCGGTAATAGCAACAACGAGAGTGAGCGAGTATGAGAGTTAAATATTAATTGGGCAGGGTAATGAATGTGAGCAAAAGAATGCAACAAAGAGAATTAACTTTTCGACTGGTTAATAGCCTGACAGCATTGGGAAAGAATGGATCCGCGGTCCAAGCTGGATATATATCATCGGCCCTCACCCTCACCAACGTCGGCGACGTATCCTGATATGGTATGTTTGGAATTGAAATTACACATGACATGCTGTATGCTCATATTCGTGTTCTGTGGCTGGCTGTCGGATGTACAGTCAACGGCTCCATGATATCGCGAATCTGCACTTGTGCAGTTGCAGAGAGGCAAAGTTGACGGACGTTCCGTTAGGGAGCTCATATTTCTCCGTGAACCCTACCAAGCTGTAAAGTGTGGACCACATAAGTTTGTCATCAGCGAGATCTGTAACCACACCGCATAGATACCATAGGGCATTGTTGGGTATTGGAAGATATTCTGAGAGACCGACTTGGCCGGTATGCAGCAGTATGCAGCAAGTATCCGATGGAGTGGGTTTTGATACTGGAGAAACATTCAGGGGTTCACAGGGTTCAGAGACCGTAAGGAGATTTAGACAGGTTTAGACAGAATTTCCAAGGGCTGGAAGCGTACAAGAGGGGCCGGTGCATGGGGAACCCTCACTAATCCTCGCGACGTTTTCTCGTTACGGGTCAAGTGCGAGCTTTGTGGCGTCAAAGAGCATGCGTCGGAGAGCTAAGCCTCACGATGGTGCGCCACAATAACCAATGATTATGCTGGACCAGAGCAAAGTTTGCCCCTCGTCTTCGATGATCCATGTGTTGCGGCGGTGATGCAGGGGCTACCGCATACCACAGTGCACATCGAGAGTACGGAGCACGTCGCACATCGCACATCGCCCTGTGAAACGATCTTAACCCAGCCGTATGATCAAACGTGCCCTGTAATGGGAATCTTGGGCGCTGGAGCCAAGGTCTCCCAGACAGCTGAAAAACGGAGATAGGGGGATTCTAGCCACAGTCCATCCATAGCCTTGTGAGGAACTCGGAAAGATCTGACTCTATAGGTCGGTAAAGTGGTGAAGGTATGGTGGGTTGATCCTGCGAAGCTCCGTAGTGGAGGCTGGCCTTTGCTCAAGTGGCAATAGCACCCGTCGCCCTGTGAGTCCATAGTTATGCCATCTCTGGCTTCTTAGTGGACAGTCGTCGACAGAGAGGGAGCATGGATCGTGCGCGATGTGGACTGGAGTTTGGAGGTAGATATGAACGCGTGCGACCCATAGTGTAAGGCTCTTCTCAAGTCTCCCTCCTCGAATCCCCTCCAGTTCGGAAGAGGCAGAACGGTGGCGGCGAATTTTTTCTCAGGTGTTGATGGAGATGACTTGTTGATGGTGGCTTTATTTGAGGGCAGGTATAGGCCACCAAGAGCCAGGAGACAGTGAAGTTGCGCAGATCCGCGTCTATCGCCTGTCTTCTGGGTGGGTGGTGTAACGCGGCAGCAAAGCATTGATGTCTCGCGAGACCAAGGACCTATAAACGGGAGATCAGGGTTAGCATTTCACAGATGAGAAGTCCGATCTCCTTCCCCTTCCGTCAGGTCTCAAGCCAAAGCATCCAATCAAATGCAAAAGGGGGTGTGTGTGTTCATGGATCTAATACTGGAAGTGGAAAGCAGTGGAAGCAATAGCAAACGGCCTGCAACGCCTTCATTGATTTCGAATCTTATTCTGATATTACATGGCCCCAATCTGGCAAGAGCAACCAACGACTGGCTCAAGGGTAACCATGATGCTTGAATAACTGTAATCGTGGCGCTAATGCAAACTGGGCAACAAGGCTTAACGCCCTCACCCCATATTCCCGTCCCAATTACCTCAATCCTTCTCCGCAATGGCTTGCAGACGCTCATCAATCTCTTCCTCCGTCAACGCTCTGAAACCCGGGTCGGGCCCTTCCTTTCCGTCCGCACGCGGTCCGCCAGCAATGCCGATCTCCAACTCTCCCTTCTTAAAGTCCACGCTGAGGACCGTGCTGAGGGTAGTTATAGCCAGTTCGACAACCTCCTCCCAGGTACCCTCTGCGCTATCCTTGTTCTTGAGCTTCTTCTCCAAGTGGTTGAAAGCCTCCTGCTGCTTTGGGCCCGATGCCGTGGCCTTGTAACCGGTGTAATAACCAGCGGGGTCGCACTTGTAGAGCTGAGGGCCATTTTCGAAGTCAAGGGATACGAGGGTGGTTGAGACACCATATGGACGCATGTAGGCCTACATATTGTAAGTATTCGGCGTAGCATGCTGAACCGGCCATTCGGAGATATTGTAACTTACGCGCTGAGTATACACCTGGGATATGTTCGCCAACCTCTTGGCCAATACGTCGCACGGCATCTCGTATCCATACTTGTATCTGAACTCAGCAGCTTCACCACGAGCTCTCGTCACCCAGGCCCTCGAATCTGCGATCGAACCGGTCATGACACATCCTACGGATGGGGAGAGCTTGAAGATATGAGAGACGGAAGAGGGATCGATGAGCTTGTCCTGCACACTGTGTAAGCTGAGTATCGAAGGGTCGGGAGTGATGAACGTACGGGAACTTTCTTTTGTGATAATACTACGGCGCAGTCCTTCCCCCTGATGCCGATCGACATGATATTTGCTGCGGTGACAGCTTTGAAGGCATATTCTGTTTGGTGGAGCTGATTAGCTATGCTTGCTGAAACCACGGAGCTTCTCTCGGGCGATCGTGGTCGGCTTCGCAGTGCTCCTTCCGATGATAATAGGCATGTGTAGCTTACCGACTTGATACAGTCGTCCTTGGTCAGAAAAGATGGTGATGTGCCTGTCATAGGCGGCGCTGTCTGTTCATTGAAGTGGTCAGCCGTGCCAATCCAAGGCTGTTTGGAGCTCCGCGTTGGCTCACATACTGGACATCTTGACGTCTTAATCTGGGTTGAATAGCTGTATGGTGATTATACGTTTCTCGAGGTTGTTAAGCTTGTATTCACTCGTGGATGGAAGAAGGGTGGCATTCAAGGCTGATAGCTGGGGTGAGACGTCAACACGCGGTGCCTGGAAGCACTCACGACTTGTTAGCGCCAAAGCTCGCGGCCGCGCGAAGCGAGGCTGCAGCCCGATAACGAAAAAAGTTGATGAAATTCATCCGAGGTGCCTCGTCGTATATTTTTTCAAAACTCAACATAGGCTCACTGATTGGGCTATGAACGATTGAAATTCTTTGCGCATACTACACCAACAATTATACTACCAGCAATGTCCGCCTCCTCAACTTCATTCCCGCGTATCCCTGCATGGAAGCGCCTGGGGCTCAAGCTCAAATCTGAGGGCGATGCACCTTCACCAGTCGCTCCAGCACCGCCCACAGAATACGTGGCTGCGGAACAGCCAAAGAGAAAGCGCGCATCCGATGAAGTTGAATCTACACCTATCAAAAAGTCCAAAAAGTCGCTCAAAAAGGCCGAGTCTACTATATCTTCAACCCCAACAGCCGTGCCCGATGGTATGCTAGGCCGGCGCAAGTCGGTTGCGTTCACGCCAGAGACGAAAGCCGAGGACGGTGACAGCATAAGGCAGCTATTCAACTCTTGGGTTGCTCAGCAGAAGGAAATCGACCATTCCTTTGCCAGCAAGAACGACCAGCCATCATTTCAAACCCCCATACCAACTACCGTCGACGAGACGGTCGATACCACATTACCTGAGCCCGAGCGACGAGTGAAGCGTGTGAAGTCCACCAACCCAGACGACAAGGCAAAGCCCAAGAAGTCCAAGTCCAAAGTGGTGAAGTCGAAGCCCATCGACCCTGCGCTCACCTACTTGACCCAGTTCCACGGCGACAAGGCCAACTGGAAGTTCAATAAGATAAACCAGATTGCAGTTCTTAAGAACGCCTTCGATACTGAACTCATCCCTACCGAATACAACCAGCCACTTTACGAATACATCGCCGGATTGAAAGGCGCTGCACGTGTGCATCTGAGAGATCGCGCACTGGAAATCAGAGATAAGGACGTGGAAGAAGGCGCAAAAGGCTTCACAGACAAGATGACAGACAATCAACGGGCGAAGAAGCAGGAGGAATATGAGACAGCGATGGAGGAGTACGCTGCGACGATGACTTCCACGGCCATTTCATCAAGGACGGGCTTGGAAGAAGGGATCATACTTGGTCTCAATGACACGGCGATGAAGGAGCGTATGATGAAGAGGATGAGAGCTGAGCACGTTCTGAATTTGTTGGCGAGCACACCAGGTGATCCATCCGATTACGCGCCTGTGGTGGGCAACACGAAGCCATTGGAGGAGGCCAGACCACAACCGGTGAAGCTTGAGGCGGAGAAACCACAAAAAACAGTGCGGAAGAGGAAGCAGAGAACAGCGGTGTACGAAAGCGACAGCTCGTCATCTTCGGACTCAGACTCAGACTCGGACAGCAGCACGTCAGAGGAGGAGAGTGACGACGAAGGCCCATCCAAGAAATCCAAGAAATCGGACTCGGATTCTGACAGCTCAAGCAGCTCGTCCGGATCAAGTTCTGGGGACTCCTCGGATTCAGATGGCTCGGATGGTAGTAGCAGCAGCAGCAGCAGCAGTGGCAGTGAAGGTGAAGGTGAAGGTGAAGGTGAAGGTGAAGGTGAAGGTGAAGGTGAAGGTGATGAGAGTGACTAAGGATGGGATGTGTGCATTTGATACCCCAAGAACAGTGCAGGTTGGGTTTCTTATACTGCAGGAATGGCGTCTTAATGCTGCTGTTGCGAGATTCAGGGTCTGACTACTCGTATATGGCGTCTGGATGCTGCGGTTGTGTGTTTCAGGGTCTGACTAAATGGTCCCTCCCCTCCCTTTCCACTATATCCTTTACACATTATCGGATGTATATCGTCGGGGAATTATATGGGATATTAGACATGGGATATCATTAGACCCGGAATGAATGGAAATGAAAGCCGTGAATCTCAATGTGTTTCCCACTCTCTTACAACCAATGCAGTGCCATTTGAAAACGCCAGACAATGCTTTTGGGATAGTAATAAGCTTAATAACCCCAAAGGCCGTCAAATCCGTCTAGCGGGTATATGTCTATATAAACCCAATTGTAAACTCCACCTCCCCCATCAACCACAGAACTCCATCCCATATACCAAACCCAGCCCGTTTCCCATCACCTGGACCAAATAAATTCTTCCAAACTCCTTAAATCTAGTGTCCAAATCCTATATCCCAAATCTTTCCCAACTCCAACAACCCCCTCTATCCAACTCTATCAGCAGCACCCTCAACCACCGTCGCATTTATCGTCCCATAAGTCACCGCTCTCCCCCCCTCAACATCCAACGCCACGACACTCGGCTCCGGCCCATCCTCCGCCTCCTCACTCAACAACGGACTCCTCTCCATATCCTCCAGCATCTTCTTCCCCCCCCTCCCCTTCCGGATCCGTATCAACATCATATGTCCCCACTTCACATGTCTCCCCACCGTATACCCCGCAACCCCCACCACCACCAGCGCCAGGAACCCGCCACACACCCACGCCCAGTTGTACAGCCAGTCGAGCAGCCACAAGCGGGGCGCGATCGTCGTGCTGACTTCGCAGGGGCCGTGCTGGATGCAGATGTCGGGACGGCCCATGGATTTGAAGCGTGGGCCGAATGGGCCGTCGACGAATTTGCGCTCGCCGATGATGGGGGCTTGGTATTGGCGGGGGTCGTTGGAGGGGTACCCTTTGTCGCCCCAGCAGCCGGCGTAGTGGAACCAGCTGGTCGGGGCGTTGGGGTTCTGGAGACTAGGGGTGAGTGTGCCGGGTGCGAAGTTGACGGATGCGGAGGGCTCGCTGACCAACTTGGCGCCGACGTCGGAGTGGTCGGAGGGGGAGGTGTAGTGGTAGGACATGACGTTTAGAGCTGGGTCCCAGAGGGGGCCGTGGGAGGTTGTGTCGTGTAGGATGGCGAAGGGGAGGATGTACGCCTGGATGCCGGTTGTGGCGTACATGGCATGGCTGCCTTTGGCGGAGTAGATGACGGGCTGCGGATTATTAGTCGCCATGACATTATTATAAGGGTAGGAAAATGACTTACGCGCTTGCCATACTTCTCCATGGCGCCAAAGGTGTAGGTTCTTCCACCCGTATGCTGGCTGATAAACATCGTCTCTGGAACCCCGTTTCGGAATTTCATGACACTATGCTCCCAATCCCCCACATGGTCGCCAAAGCCGACCCCAAAGACGCTGTTGCCGAGGTTGTAGCTGTAAAAGAAGAACCAGAATGCAAATATGACTCCGTCACCTTTATCAACCACAGTCAAAACGACTGGCGCAGGACTTCGCCCGCCTATTTTGCTAATCTTCTTCCGCTTCTCGCCCCTCTTGCCCTCGCCCTTTGGCGCAGCTAAATCGGTCTCGTTACCCTCTAGAGTGGCGGGTGGCGGTACAGGCATATTATGCGCGCTCAGCATCCAAGCCGGGCTCGTCATCACATCATCCCGGCTCTGGAGATAGAGATGACGGCCGCCTTCGTGCTTGTCAAGGTCCCCTAAGTCCCATAATGTGGGATGCTGTTCATCCTTTGGCACGGGCTTGAAATCCACATATGGTTTTGTGTGGACCAAATGCTCATCCATAAGACTAGGCCAGTGTATTTCGTCCTCGGCGAGATGCACCAGGGGAGCATACTCAATCACATAGCTCGGGATATCTTTTTGAATTTTCCCATCGCCGGCTGTCCCGGTCGGCGTATGACTGTCCAGCCATTCCGAGTGGATCGGGGTGTCGAAGTGGTCTTGCTCTAGCGCGCGAGCAGAAGTAATCACTCCGGCACAGAGCGCAAGGATGCCCAGGGTGGGATATAGCATCTGGGCGGGCTATTGTCTCATAGGACCTGCAGTCTATAATTGCGGAATGGTATTCGTCTGTAAAATTCTGGTTCGGCCAAAATCGTCGAAGTAGTAAGCGGCTGTATCGGTGTCGCCCCAATTCCTATGGGAAGTTGTTCTTTATGTATAGCCAGCTGCCGCAAGGGACTTTTGAGAGGGCCCTGGATTATGCGGGGTATAATACAAACAGTATCCTGAGGGAGGATCGCAAAACCAGCGTCTCTGCGTTGTGATTGTGTTGTTGAAATGTCCCTTGCCTCTTTGCCTTTGTGATAATCCGGGCCGCCGGGTGACGTCTGAGAAAAGTCGCAGCTGACCAAAACGATGGTTCTTGCCTTTTATATCCACCCAGTCTTGGAAATCAGTCTAAGAACGTGTACATAGTTCGCATGTACTATACAGACCTTCCGGAATAGTGAATACTTGACAATGTGGCCTATGGAAGGAAGTGTTACTGACACGCCGTCTGGTAAAGGCAATGAATCGTATGCCGCTTAACTAACATACATGAATCGTATGCCGCTTACATAAGCACGGGCGGCAGTAGAGCAAATTAGCGATGAGAGATCCTGCTCATGTCAGCTTGATTAGCTGCCGCTGATGGCTCGCCACTTTATACCGATGCACATCCACATCATGTACAACCCCGACTACTCCACTTTTGCATTTGAGGCTTAAAAAGGCTTGATATTCTCATGTCACGGGAAGGGAATATACCCTGTTCGTAAAACCAGAATCCTACAAATACCTCTCATGCCGCCGCTGGACGTGATATAAACTTGATCCAAGGGATCAAGGAATCTAATCTTCCCATAGGTTATACTGGTATTTTATACACATGCCATGGTAGGCTCTTTCCTCACAGCTCATCCTTCACGGCCGGCTTCACAGGCCGCCCCGAGTCCTTTCCCAGATCCACACCCTTCTTCATTCTCCACTTCTCCCACAGCGCCCAGAAGTCCTTCTCCATCCCCTTCTCCATTTGATCAGGTAGCACAACGGTATACTCTATGAATAACTTGCCGAACTTCGTTTTGTGGTAGACGCTGTCTCCATCTTCGTCCCATATCGGCATTCCTTCGTCCTTGACAGTCTCTACTGTACCGGACTGTACGACCTTGCCTCGTGGTCGCGAGAGTTGGACAACATGTCCGTCGAGATGAGTAACATTGCGCGTCCATCCACCCATCCATGCTTCCCTTAAGCCGAGGGTTTCCTTCCAGTATATATCATCACCGCGGCGGCGGAAGAACGTCCCATCAACCTTCAGCTCATTATCAACATCAAGATCCGGTTCCTTTTCGTGTAATGTGACTATAAGGTCGCCGGCAACCCAGTCAGGGCTCTCATCCGCGTCGTTCTCGTACCGTATACGGTGTCCAACCGGCGCGCCCTTCTCAATATCCAACGTGAACTCATTAACCTTGCGCACAACCCTGGTGCCGTCGCAAACCGCGCACTTATGCTTGATAATTTTTCCTTGCCCACCGCAATGATCGCAGCGGACCTGCATCTGTTGAAAGATCCCCGGCGCGAGCATGTGTTTCCTGATGACTACTCCATGGCCGTGGCACTCCCCGCAAACATCCAGTTGCTTATCGCTTGCCCCGGTTCCGTCGCATTCGTCGCAGATCTGCTGCTTCTCAAGGTGAAACTCTGTTTTCTTCCCGTTGTAGAAGTCCCTTAATGGTATGGCGATGCGTACTTCCATATCTGGCCCTCGGCGCTCTCCGTGGCCTCCGAAGCCGCCACCACCACCGCCGCCGAAGAATCGGGAGAATAAGTCGAAAGGATCATGATGTTGCTGGTGGCCGCCACCCTGTGCGTGTTGTTGCAGGCCTTCGTGGCCGTATTTATCGTAGATTTGGCGGGTCTCGGTGTCGGATAGAGCTTCATAAGCAGCTGCGATTTCGACAAACTTTTGCTTTGCAGTCTCGTCTCCACTAAGATATGTTAGACTCTGGGGCAATCATGTAAAATATAACTGTGGATAGAGGGGCAGGAACTTACGGGTTCTTATCGGGGTGTAATTTCTTGCTTAGAGATCGGTATGCCCGTTTGATGTCGCTCTTAGAGGCTTGCTTGTCAATGCCCAAGAGCTATTAACATTAGTGATGCCCCTCACAAATAATTATATTGCCTTTATAGCAGCGACTGTAGAGCTTATCTCACCTTATAAAAGTCCTCGGCGCAAGCTACAAGCTGCAAGAAGCAGACAAACAGCAAGGCTGCCCGCGCCCACATATTTGTGGATTTCCCTTGATGTCCTCAATCAATTCAATGTACAATGCTGGATACAATATAGGATAGCAAAGAATCCGCAATCATGAAAACATGAGTTGCAAAAGGAGTGTCGGTGGGGTGAAATATATACAAGCTCCAGAGGATTATGATATGCTCAACGTGGCTATTTCGCCATAAATTGATAAAGGAAATGAGTGCAAACAGAGCAAACATACCTTAAATTTTGGAACTTGGAAGGCTGGTTAGCCTCCCAAGGTGTCGGAGGAGCCATTTAGTAGCGACAACTACGAGTCTTCTTTCGAACCTTTCAGGGCAGGCAATCTTTTTTAGTTTGCCGTGTCCAAGGCTTTGTTTAGAGACGAAACCAGCACACGGCAAACGATGGGTCCCAAGAAATACGCCCTCCTCCCCATGGAGGAGGAGGAATTGGCCCCTGCCAAGGTCGTCGAGAAGAAGAAGGAGAAGCGCTCTCGACGCGATTGCGAGAAATCATCCTCTTCACACCATGATAGGGACCGCCGTGACCGGAGTCGAGAGCGCGAACGCTCGCCACGACGTGACAAGTCGCCCCGCCGACGATCACCGCGTCCGACCGAACACAAGTCCAGAACTATCCGACGACCTGCTGGCGATGAAAATTATCAGGATCGTTGGGGTGATGAAGAATATGACTCTGCGGAGGAACAGGAATTCCAGGAGTCGGCGCCGAAGCGGTTGAAGACGGACCACGATGACGAGGCGGATCTATCTGAAGGCGCCAAGGAAGAGCGTGAGAGGCAAAAGGATATCGAGGAGCGGGAGGCATTTGCGAAGCGTTTGAGGGAGAAGGATGATGATAAAACTAGGAAACTTGTTGAAGACAGGTCTTCCACTAAGGATGGCAAGATATTGGCGCAACGGCGGCTGCTCGCTGAGGATGCGGCAGCGAGAAGTGCGGCATTGCCAGATCTGAGGGAGAGGTCACGACAGGAGTACTTGAAGAAGAGGGAGGCCGAACGATTGGCGTTACTGAGGAAGCAGGTTTCGGAGGAGACGGAGGAACTGAGGAGCGGCGTCAGGTTGTCCGAGAAGGAAAAGACGGAATTTGCGAAGAATAGGGAAGTGTTACGGATCGCGGAGGAGCGGTTACGTATCGACGACCATTTGGATGGCTACGCCATGCCAGAGGACTATATCACGGAGAAAGGCAAAATCGACAGGAAGAAGAAGGAGGAGGCTATGTACAAGCGCTATGTTGACCGTGACGAATACGGCCAAGAGAAGTTCGTCACAGAGCACGAGGAGTGGGAAAAGGAACAAGCGACCAAAGCCAAAGCTCAAGTCCAAAGCAGAGAGTGGACGGATCAAGGCGAATATGACTATGTCCTGGACGAGGAGCAAGGAATTAAATGGGTTATGGATCAAAGAATGCCAGGCGAGGGCAAAGGCATGTCGAAGGAAGAGAGATTTTTGGCCGAACAGCTCAAGGCTGCAGAGAAGAGAGCCCTGAGCATGGAGGAGACGCGGAAAAGTCTTCCCATCTATGTATACAGGGACGAGTTCCTTGCAGCCTTGGAGGAGCATCAGATCCTTGTCATTGTTGGTGAAACTGGTAGTGGAAAGACTACGCAGCTGCCTCAGTACTTGCATGAAGCCGGATATACGAAAGATGGCCTGAAGGTCGGATGCACGCAACCTCGTCGTGTTGCAGCGATGAGTGTTGCAGCTCGTGTAGCTGATGAGATGGGTGTCAAAGTAGGGAACGAAGTTGGTTATTCGATCAGATTCGAGGACTCGACGAGCGACAAGACTGTCTTGAAGTACATGACTGATGGTATGTTACTGCGAGAGTTCATGACAGAACCAGATCTGGGTGGCTATGCTGCCATCATGATTGACGAGGCCCACGAACGGACTGTTCACACTGACATTTTGTTGGCGTTGGTTAAAGATTTGGCGAGAGAGAGGCCCGACTTGAAGCTGCTCATTTCTTCCGCAACTATGAACGCAAAGAAATTTGCCGACTACTTTGACGACGCACCCATTTTCAACATTCCTGGCCGTCGATACCCTGTCGATATCCATTACACACCACAACCGGAAGCAAACTATTTGGCAGCTGCAATTACTACAGTCTTTCAGATTCACACCACTCAAGGGAAGGGGGATATTCTCGTCTTCTTAACTGGTCAGGATGAGATTGAAGCTGCGGAGCTGAATATCATGGAAATCTCTAGAAAGCTGGGTAGCAGAGTGCCCGAGCTTGTCATATGTCCCATTTACGCCAACTTACCCTCCGAGTTACAGAGCAAGATTTTCGAGCCAACCCCTGACGGTGCTCGAAAGGTAGTGTTAGCCACCAACATTGCTGAGACGAGTTTGACCATCGACGGTATCGTATACGTTATCGACCCTGGTTTCGTGAAGGAGAATATCTACAATCCTGTCACTGGCATGTCAAAACTTGTAGCAGTACCCTGTTCTCGCGCCTCCGCAAACCAGCGAAGCGGGAGAGCCGGTCGTGTCGGCCCTGGAAAGTGCTTCAGACTCTATACCAAGTGGGCGTTTATGAACGAGATGGATGAATCCACCACTCCCGAAATCCAGCGCACAAACCTCAACGACATCGTCCTCCTCCTCAAGTCTCTAGGTATCCACGCACTCCTCGACTTCGAATTCATGGACCCGCCTCCCACCGAAACCCTAATCGGCGCACTGAACCAGCTCTTCGCCTTACAGGCCCTCAACCACAGAGGCGAGCTCACCAAAATCGGACGTCAAATGGCCGAGTTCCCCACCGACCCCATGCTCGCAAAATCCATCCTCGCCGCCGACAAACTCGGCTGCGTCGAAGAGATCCTCAGCATAGTCGCCATGCTCTCCGAAGCCTCGGCCCTCTTCTTCCGCCCCAAAGACAAGAAGATCCACGCTGACAGCGCACGCGCGCGCTTCACCGTCAAGGAAGGCGGCGACCACCTCACTCTCCTGAATATCTGGAACCAGTGGGTCGATAGCGACTTCAGCCCTATCTGGAGCAAAGAGAACTTCCTGCAGCAACGCTCGCTCACGCGTGCGCGCGATGTCCGTGATCAGCTTGCTAAGCTGTGCGAGCGTGTCGAGGTCACTATCAGTAGTGTGGGCGCGGCGGATCTGGTGCCGATCTCGAAGGCTATCACGGCGGGATTCTTCCCTAATGCGGCGAGATTGCAGCGTGGAGGCGATAGCTACAGAACGGTGAAGAATAATAATACGGTGTATGTGCATCCCAGCAGCGTGCTGATGGATGCGAATCCGCCGATTAAGATGGTGGTGTATTATGAGTTGGTGCAGACGACGAAGGAGTATATGAGGAGTTGTCTGCCTATTAAGGCGGAGTGGCTCACGGAGGTAGCGCCGCACTTTCATAAGAAGAAGGATATTGAAGAGCTGGAGGAGAAGAAAATGCCCAAGGGGCGGTAGGATAGACGGGGGCTCGGGCGTAGTATCCGTATGCATATATCTAAATAAATACATAAAATGGAATATCTGAACATATTTATTGGCTTGGGTCTGGGCTATCTATATATAACACCAAACCTTTCCTTGCTACAAAAGACCAGCAGTGGCGGGTTTCTAATCAACAACGGATATATGCCGACAACGGGAGAAATGACGGTGTTCTTTACAAAAACACGTCCATAAAAAAATCGTATAAAGTTGGTTCTGTTTCTATCGTGAATTCAACTTCTACATGGCGAAGCTCGGAGGTGGCTGCCACGTCCACGCTCAATTTCCCTCGTGATTCTTGTTACCGTTCTTAAAACACTGTCACCGTCATTTCTCCCGTTGTCGGCCTATATCCGTTGTTGATTAGAAACCCGCCACTGCTGGTCTTTTGTTTTTATGGATGTTAATACTACGGAAGATAGATCTACAGTTGCTAGACCAGTAGTGTTTTTGCAGCCCACTTGGACAGATTGAATGTCGGCCTGGGATTGCAGTATACCAAGTGAGTAGATGAATATTGGACGAAGGCATATATATATTGTATGGTATGAAGTATCCACATCAACGTTCAGTATCTAGACTATAGATTCACACCATCCGCGTCGCCAACGCCAGACCACAATATACATTTTTTACCCAACCCATTCATATGCAAAGACCGAACTCCACGCTATCAAACCTTCCATGCAATATCATCACCCGGCCCCCTGCCTCAAGCCGCCACAGCACGTCCAGCCATCAGCATCCCCAACATACCCTCCGTCTGACACGCCTGCTGTGCTCTCTCCACCTCCGCCCTAACCCGGCGATGCAGCCACTTAACCCCCTTCTCCAGCTCCTCGCTCGCACCCACATGCTCGCTGTAAAGATCTAGAAGCAAGAGAGCGGCATCCACACACGTGTTCACATACCGCGGATCGATAATGTACTTCGCGACCCACCGCAGAATCGGCATCACGGTCGTCTCATCACGGCTACTGAACGCCTCGCGCATCGCAGACCGGTGCTTCAGCGCCGTCAGCACAGACAGCACAACCACAGGCGGCAAATTGCTCCCTAGTACCATATCCAGCGCCGCGCCGTAGCGGCCATTGCGCAGACTCTTCTCCCACTGGCTTTCGCCCTTCTTACGCTTCTCGTTCCCCTCGATAACGACGTCCGCGCCCTCGCCTAGAAACTTCATGCCGCGCAGTTTGTTCTCTACGCCACGGGACCGCTTCTTGTTCTTCTTATCGTATTCCTCCACGTTACCCGCGATGAGCGCGGCCATCTCCTTCTCGCGCTCGCGCTCCTTGACCTTTTGGGCGCCGGAGAGGCGGGTGCGGATGGAGAGGACGCCGGATTGGAGACCGACGGCAAGATGCTTGTCCTGGTGATCCGAAGAAAGGACAACGGCCACGGATAGGATGGGAGAGCTATATTTTGAGCCCGCAACCGAGTTCCAGGATGTTGTCTCGAAGACCTTAAGATGGCCATCGAGAGCGCCGGAAACAAGACGTGTACCATTTGACGCCAGGCATAGTGCTGTGACAGTCTTTTGGTGGTTCTTGATGATGTGCAGCGGTTTCCCGGCCACAAGGTCGAGGACTGATATTTGTGCTTCGGAGGATGCGATGAGTGTTGTTCCAGAGGGCATTGGAAGGACGGCTTCCACAGGGGCAGCGTGCTTGAACGTCATTGCCGCGCGAGTAGGAGTACGCGGATCCCAAACACGAACAGTCGAATCGTAGGAACCAGAGGCAAGCATATTGCTGAGCATGCCCGGCATGAATGCTGCCGACCTGACATAATCGCCATGGCCAATAAACTTTGTCGTGCTCTGTCCGCTGGGCAGATCCCAGAGTCGTAGTGTACGGTCGTCGGAGGCAGACATTAGAGTAGTCAGCTCTGTGGGCGAAAACTTCGTCGTCCACACGGGCTGTTTGTGCTCTTCCCAGGTCTTGAGGATAGCGCGCGAGTTGACATCAAAAACCTGGATCTTGCCACTGTCGTCACCGGCAACCGTAACGCGGCCATCACGGCGGATCTCTCCACTGTGAGCAATGTCCGAAAAGCGAGTTATGGTCTTGATGAGTTTTCGGGTTCGTATCGAGTAGATCTGGACGCGCGTGCCGGTCGTGACGGAGAAGTAGTCATTGTTCGAGGGCAGCAGCGGATTGCTGGGAGGAGGGGGGAAAGAAATGTGAGTGACAGGATATGAGGTCGGGGACGGGATGATTTGCTGCGACCTAAATGACTTCCAATATTGTTGTTCTGGTGTAATTGGCGAAGGACCGCTGGGCAGTTTCACCTGCTGGAGCTTCGTTATCGGGGCTGCCATTTTGCAAGTTGGTTGAGAGTCGCCCCGGCTTGAATATGTAGTCGGCGCAAAGGTACGAGCATCAAGCAAGCATCTTACAAAAAATATTTGGATTATCAGTTGCGCGTTTTCTGGAGGGACGGGACTAGTCTTGATACGGTTAGCGTATAGTTTTGATATTTTGACGTCACGTGAGTTTTCACTTCTCTCAAAGATGACCATGCATGTTACCTTGAAATACAAGATCGTTTACCGTTGTATCACTTTAATGCCAAGGTAATATTCAGGAGTGATTTAAAATATGTGATTCATTCGTGTTGAGTATATTACACAGTCTGCGTCCTGCAGAAGCCAGCCTGTTGACGCCACCCGGGTAATCCTAACTTCCTTTGATTCCCATGAGAGAAGGAAACCCCTTAAAGTGAATAACCCAAAGCAAAATAAAAAGCCATAGTATAAAATAGGGCGAGACTTTGGTGGTGGAAGGCTGGAAATGTCCAATCGAAGTAATAGATTCCAGGCTGTATAATGTCTGGCAGATGGGAACAGCATCAACTAACTCATCTCGAGTACGGATGGTAGCCACCTCTGCCACCACCACGTCCGCCACCACGATAGTTTGCTCCTGGCTTTCCAGCGTTTTTTGGGCCGGTCGGCGCTCCTGCCGGAGGAGCAGGTTGTGGTCCACTCGGCGTGCCACTTCCTCCCCTCCCTTGGGCCTTGTTGTACCCACCGGCACCGCCAGCAGGAATTGGTTGAGGAACATCATCGTACATGCCCTCCCAGCTGGTGGGTTGGTTTTGTCCACCATAATTATTTCCGGCGTTGTAGTGTTGGCCTGCCGGAGTTTGCGATGTTTGTCTTACGCCGCGGTGACCCTGCTGCTCATACTTCTGTTGCTCAAGGGATTGTTGCTCGTATGCGTTGTACCCAGAGTTGTTTCCTGCACCAGCAACGCCGGCATTCCCGCCACCTATGCCGCCTCCCATCCCTTGCATTTGTTGGGCCTGCATGGCCTGCTGCATCTGCTGCATCATCATCGGATTCATCATCGCAGGGTTCATTCCCATAACTGGGCTTTGTCCAGCCTGTGGGCTTTGGCTGCGATCACCAGCATTCTGTTGCTGAGCCGCCTGCATCTGCTGCATCATCATCTGATTCATCATAGCCGGGTTCATAGCGGCACCTCTTCCGGCACCCATGGCCATTTGCTGCTGCATCATTGCCATGTATTGTTGCATGCGCTGCCAGTATTGAGCCATGACTTGTGGCGTCATGCCACCTGGCGCCATCTGGTTGCTCTGGGCTTGAGGCTGGTTGCCATAATTATCTTGTTGTTCCTCCGGCTTTCGGAATCGGTTGCGGCCTCCACCACCACGGTTATCCTCCTCCTCTCGAACATTTCCACGTGGCTGCGCTTTCTTAACTTCAATTGGCTTGCCCAAGATCTCAAGGGGAATATTGATGCAAGCATCAACAGCAGCCTCTGAGTCAAAGGTCACAAAACCGAAGCCGCGGGGACGACCGGTGTCTTTGTCCATCATGAGTGTAGCGTCAACAACACGGCCAAATTGCATGAAGTACTCTTTGAAGTCTAGCTCGCTGGCTTCTTGTGAAACCCCACCAACAAAGATCTTGGATGTACGCTCTTGTTCGTCGCGTGGAATGGCGCGTTTTGGGTCAATCTATTGACATATTAGGTGAGGCTACCTAGTATTTGGTGAAACCGTAGTGTTTCCAAGGTGAGTATTCTTACAATCTTTCCATCCAGATAATGTTCCTTGACCATCACAACATTTACAGTTCGAGCGTCTTTGAACGTGAGGAATCCGAATCCTCTGGAGCGGCCAGATGCACCGTCTCGCATAACTGTGCATTCCACGACCTCTCCAAACTGTGAAAAGTAATCCTTCAGTGATTCTACATCATAATCAGTACTGTAGGTAGCAACTTGGGCAGTTACACTCACGATCCGTTGTTTCCCAGTTCAATCCACCAATGAACATTTTCCTGTAAAAACAGTACACATTAGCCCAAAAATTGCAACAGCAAACACACTCCACCAAAAAATAACAGGCCATAGCGAAATCAGAGTTCAGATCTTTCCGCGTTCAGGCTCATTCCAGAACTATTCCTTGCCTGGCTACAATACTTTGTGGACAGTGGGCACCTCATAAGCGTATGGTGTGTCCTTTCCTTCCCAAATACAGTAAAGTATCCGGCTTTGATGGCATGGCTTTTGACCACGGAATAGATGTAGTCTTCCCAGAATGTAGCGTAGAGCGGGCTCAAATATCTGCATTGGAGATGCCCAAAGCAAGGGATATAGATCTCTCATACACGGACTCCTGAGTCATGCAAGAGTATGACAGTTTGACAGATCCGTGAGATAATATCGTATCTTGTTTTTGCTATCGTGATGCTAGGTACTGGCGTAGAGCGCTATACGCCTTTCGTTCTTGCTAAGCCTATGGGCATATCTAGCTTCTGTCTGATGCTCTATGGAGATTATCTCGACAATAGGCTATGGAATAGTAGTATGCCAGACTATAACTCTCGGATGTCGACTCCATGGTGAAACCATCATTTTGCCATCCCACGTAGACTTCTCAGCAGCAAGTCGGTGGTAATGTCATCCATCCCAGGCACACCGGGAGATTTGAGATACGCTTCTGAAGTTCCACAATCCGGGCCATCGATCTCCTTCTGGAATTGCTATATTTCCAGCCACGATAGCAAAATATTTCTCTCTATGCTTTGCTCGGTCTCTCATGATTCGCCTCCTGCATCTCCCAGACGCGCCTCAAATCATTGCCTCATGATCAAAGAAGTCCACCATGGAAATATGGCTTCTCTGTCCAGAGAGTAGTCATGCTCCAACCCCTATACTCTGTCGCAATGGCTAGGTCATAATGTGTAAAGAAATAACTATATCTTACCCGTCCTCTTTTATTCCTGGCCCTTGGGCATCACGCTCTTGCTGAGCTGGTGCGCTATAATCATTCCCGCCTCCCAAATTGAAGTCTATCTCATCGTCATCTTGCTCAGGCTGCTCACTGAACTCCTGGCCTTCGGTAGCATCTGGCTCTGGCACTGCCGCAGGTTCTTCGGTCTTCACCGCGCTGGAACCATTGACTACAGCCGGTGCTGGTCTAACTTCCGGGGCAGCTGGTGCTGGTTTCGTTGCGTCATCCTCGTACCTGGCAAGGTTTTTGTCAGCCACGTCGGCGATAGGCGCCAAAGCGCGAATAACGAAGACAAGATCGCAGCAACATAGAACTGAGGTGTATTCTGGGGATAGGTACTCACAGATCAGCGAAGAGATCATCTTCGAAGTCGTCTTGGTCGGCCATACTTGTTGTGCTAGGTTAACTTCGCGACCGAGGTTAGGGGAGGGTGTTTTGTGGTTTTCGTAGATATGATCTCATCCAAAGCAATTAATGCTGGACTTGAATGAGATTAGATGTGTGAATATTATGGAATAGTATAAAGGAGAAGGTGAAGTGATGGTGTCCACGTTGACTTTACAGCTAGACAACAACTCGAAGTCGTCGAGAGGCCAAGGCTGCTTTTCTCGTCGACGCACTAGTCCTAAACCGTGCTTAGCGCGACTTGTCTGTGCCCTTGTGAAGCTCCGATAGACAGCCAGCCTTGGGGATTGATGGATACCGAAGATGCTCAAAGAGGCTTGAGCAATAAAGAGCCTACCCAAAGGCTCCAAAGAAGATGTTTTCGAATTTGGGTAGTGGCAAGAAGCCTCCACAGCAGGTTAGTACATTTACAACCCTTGGAATTCACCAGAAGTGCTAATTCATGTTTCTCAGGAAATGGTCCAGGTTGGTATGTGCTTCCCCCGCCCCTCCCAAGGTTTATTTATTGGGCTTCAGGGCGAGATACAGAGCTCCAAGGATATTGCTAAGTTATTTCTTGTGCTATAGAGAGATCTGAGTATGCTATTCCATTTTGCTTTCGGCGGCCTTTTGAATGCCAAATATAATCCAATTCCAGCCAGCTAACAGGTACCAGCTCAACGTCACCTTTTTGGAGGACTCGAAGCAACGAGAAGAAGCGCCCGTCGTCGGAGAAAAAGGGGGAACGAGACCTGAATATGGTTGTAGGGGCTTCTTATTCTCATGCTGATATGCTCAGCAAAGTCGACTCTATGTATGTACATCACCAGAATCCAGTATGCCCCGCTAATACTCTACAAGGTCATTAGGTTCAAGCTCCTCCCGTCCAAGGACACCACCTCACTCTTCGAATAAATCAGACGGCAGACACGCATCTCAGTTGTCGAAATCAGCTCTTGGGACCACATCTTCCCCGCGGCGAAATTACTCGGGCTTCACGTCCAGCACCAATAATGACTGGGGTGCGAATAGGGAAGAGGATGACGAGGATGAATATGGCTATGATAATAATGATGGGGACGACGACTTTGGACTTCCAAGCGTGTCAAGTACGAGGCGGAAGCCGAAAAAACCGCCCGGTGAAGCTTCCGAGCCTGTTGCTGCCCTCAGTCCATGGAGGACAGACATGGGGCAGTCTTTGGGTGCACGACGATACTCGAACAGTGCAGACATAGCTATCGAGCGCCCAGCACCGTCATACCGAACTACCAAAAAGAGCGAGGGCAAAATCCTCAGACCACAATACAAAGAGATCTTAAGGGACCCAGCGAACTCGTTACATCTCATTCACCACCCGCCGGTGCCAGACGGCGCCACACAGAAAGAAGTAGACGTACACAGCCACCGCATAAATAGGATAAACAAGTTTAAGAAGATATTACAAGCGACCTCGATACCTCTTCAGGAACTACGCTCAGCGTCATGGAACGGAATACCCCAAGAAGTCCGCGCGATGACGTGGCAATTACTGCTCGGGTACCTCCCTACGAGCAGCGAACGGCGAGTAAGCACATTAGAACGGAAGCGCAAGGAATACCTAGATGGTGTACGGCAGGCATTCGAAAGGGGCGGGGGTACACCAGCAGCCCCTGGAAAGGCACGTGGCTTGGACGAGGCGGTATGGCATCAGATCAGCATCGATGTGCCCCGCACAAACCCCCATTTGGAGCTATACGGCTACGAAGCTACGCAGCGGTCATTAGAACGGATATTGTATCTGTGGGCTGTGCGGCATCCCGCGAGTGGCTACGTGCAGGGGATCAATGACCTCGTAACGCCGTTTTGGCAGGTCTTTCTGGGGAGTTACGTGATGGACTGGAATATTGACAGTGGCATGGACCCGGGGCAGTTGCCCAAAGCCGTCCTAGATGCAGTAGAGGCGGACTCGTTTTGGTGTCTAACTAAACTTCTGGATGGGATACAGGACAATTATATCTTTGCCCAACCGGGTATTCAGCGGCAAGTAGCAGGGCTACGTGATCTAACCGCGAGGATAGACAGTAATCTGGCGAAACACCTCGAGAATGAGGGTGTAGAGTTCATACAGTTCAGCTTCAGATGGATGAATTGTCTGTTAATGAGAGAGATAAGCGTGCAGAATACGATTAGGATGTGGGATACATATATGGTAAGTCCCTTCCTCCCCCTTGCTTCCACCCACGCTCACACCCCACACAGGCGGAAGACCAAGGCTTCTCCTCGTTCCACCTCTACGTCTGCGCCGCTTTCCTCGTGAAGTGGTCCGACCGGCTCCTCCACATGGATTTCCAGGAGATCATGATGTTCTTGCAAAGCCTCCCCACGAAGGAGTGGACGGAGAAGGATATCGAGTTATTATTAAGCGAGGCTTTCATCTGGCAGAGCTTGTTCAAAGGGAGTCAGGCGCATTTGTCGGGCGTGCAGAGTCAGGATAGGGGCTTGGGCGGCATGGGTGGCACATAGACACACTATAATAGGGACACAGGTCCCACCGATATTTGGTTAGATAGTATGGGGCAGTGGGCTGGTCACAATGCACTCAGAAATTTCTTGCCAGAAAGTCTCGATTTATGAATCGTCAATATTCTAGAGAAACACTAAGTCCCAACACCACCAAGTTCAACGCCAAACTGAGCCCAGTACCCATACACCGCCCACCCAACATTATAACCATCCATACTCCAACCACCTTAAATATTAACTTCGTACCCTACCCCCCAATCAAGCAAAACTCCCCCGCCCAAACAACCCCCCAATAGCCTTTCTCCTCCCCTCAACCCCCTTCAACAACCTCTCCTGCCTCTTCCTCTCCCCCTCCCTAATATCCTTCGTCCTCTCCTCCTCCCTCGTAAAAAACGCAACCCCCTTCCCCTTCTTCGGCGCCGCCTTACTATCCCCCGCAGGGCCCCCACCAAAACTCCCCGTCGACGACGCAGCCGAGCTATTCGTCGTCGCGCGCCTTAGAAGCGGCGGTACTTTAAACCCCGCCGTAGCAGAGGAGGCTGCGAAGGCCAGGCGCGTCGCAGATGACATCTCGGTGCTGGGCTGGCGTTTGAGCGACATGCGGTCCACTACTGTGGCGCCGCTGTGGCGCCGCGCGAATGGGTCGTGATTCTCCTTGCCCTTGCCGCTGTCGGTGGACCCCGTGCCTTCGATCTCGATGTCAGAATCGCTATCTTCGGCGGGGGCGTGCATCGCGTTCGGGTCGTCGATGAGGCTAGAGACTGAGGCACGGATCTCCGAGAGGCTAGTTGGGCGCTTGGAGGCCAGGGCCTTGGTGCGGCGGAGGTTGGGTGGTAGACGAGCTTGGGGCTCCGTTGTGGCTTTGCGCTTGAGGGCCCCGGAGGCGGTTTCGGGTTGACTGTTGGGCACGACTGTTGCGTCCTGGCTGTCCTCGTCGTTGACGATGGGCTGGGAAGACGCAGCATTCTCGGCGTCAACGATCTCGTCGTCGAGGAAAATCATGTCCTGGTCGTCGCCACGATCCTCGATCGCTCGGAGGAATGCGGCGCGCTTGGGGTTCTCCGCAATCTTGCCGATTTGCTCGTCCTCGAGCAGAGCCTTTCGCATCTTGGCGAACTCGCGGCGCTTCATGCGACGTCTCGCCTCTCCGTCATCATCGGAGTCGCTGAGACCGTAGTCGGCGCCTCGCTTCTTCCTTAACATGCCAGATGTGATGTCCTTGAAGAGCTTGTTGACCTGTTGCTCATCTGCGGCACGCTCGCGGTCGGCGTAGAAAGCGGCCAGCTTCGTCTCATCGAAGTTTTCGCGTTGCTCGTCGTCAATCATGGCCTGCACGGCCTCGTCTTCGCCTTCTGATTCATCATCAGATGCGCCACCAAGACCAGCATATTCGTCTTCGGATTCCGAAGCTTGGTCCTCGACCATTTCCTTGGCGGCCGACTTCTTCTTGTCATAGTCGGCGACGGGAGCCGTCTTAGATTTTTTAGAAGCTTTGCGCATGGTTTCGAAGACGTTGGAGACCTCGAAGTCGTCGACTGGTTCCACTTCCTCGTCGTCTGACAGTACAGGAGCTTGGATTCTGCGATGAAGCTTGCCCTTTCTTTTCATGACGGGTGACTCCATGACAATGTCTTCAGTTTGGTCTAGTTCTGGTGTACCTCCAATCATAACCGTGTCGACAGTGGACTGGGGAGGCTCCGTATAACGGCCCATGATCGGCGACATGAACTTGAAGCCTTCATCTTGAGTTGGCTCGGGAAATTCCGAATACTTGCTTGGAGTTTGCTGAACTAAGCTATCAAAGCCGTGGATTTGTGACTGAGAGAAGTCGAGTTGGATTCCTTGAGTCTCAGCCTGAGTTGCCTGCGTAGCACCGACGTGGTCAATTTGCACTTGGCTGCTCTTGACAATGCCTTGAGAGTCATCATCCATAGTAGGAGTAAATCCGGGAAATTCGGGAGGGGGAAGGTTCCGCAGGAAAGCTAGAGAATCCTGCTGGGAGTCCAAGCGTTGAGATGGTGAGTCCATAGGTGTAGCATCAAAGTCTGGCTGGGTGTCCATGGTGCCAGCAAAAATTTGCGTCAAACCAAGGCCGGCTGGGCCTGCCACAGTGATACCTGGAATGAATGTCTTTGTTGCCGAGCGAAGAACGGACGCCGCAGGAGATGTTGTAGCTGTTGCCTTTGGCCCGGGGGTGTTCATCGGTGCCAGTGCAGGCGACTGTGGAGCTGATACAGCGTCTTCGTCGTCTGAGATAACGTTGGTGTTCTTAGTTCTCCTCCGAGAAACTGCATTTGGTGCGTCTTCTTCATCTTCGTCGTTAATGAGACCACTCGCTTCACCATCGCCTTTTTCTTCTTCTTCCTGATCCTCATCTCCAGATTCCTCATCGTCAACCAGGACATTAGGCCTAGTGGCTTCGTCCATATTCGCTGATGTAGCATCCTCCATCTCTTCGTCTTCCGAGCCACTATGCTCTTCCTCGTCACCGGCTTCTGAGCCAGATGGAGATAGCTGTTGGGAGAACGTCTCTGCCTCTTCTTGCCATTCCTCATCATCACTATCATCCATGTCGAGTGGGTCAACTTCGCCGATGTCCTTCTTGTGCTTCTTCGCAGCAGCCTTTTCCCCCTTTGCGATTTCCTCGCCTTCTCTGCGAGCTTTTGTAATCATGTCCTCCACTTCCTCAAGCTCCTGCGCCCTCTCTTCCGCCGTTTGAACAATGATACCCCTATCACGGAGGGCCTGCAGCCGCTCCTCTCTTTCGCGTGTTGCTTGCTGTCGAGCACGCAGCTGCAAAGATGCTTGTAGCGCAGAATTGCTGATAGACGGCTTCACATTCTTCTTGTTCAAATTATTCGGTGGCGAAGAGATATGTGCTAGCATTCTAAGTGCATGAAGACCATTGGACTCCCGGGCTTTATGAGCTGGGGCGCGGTCGAAAATGGAATCCAGGTCCTTCTTGGATCTGTATTTCCATTCGAGCTGGGGTTTCGACGGAATGATTTCTAAATCATCATCGGAACCAGAGTCACTGCCAAAGCTTACGTTGGCCGAGAACTTTGGTGCTTTTGGCTGGGTGGTGACAGGTTGAATATGGGGAGCTGATTTTGTTGGAGTAGGGGATTGTCGGATGGCCTTGCCTTTTCCGTTGTCGAGCCTGCGGCTTGAGGGTGAAGGTGCGACATGGGAAGAAAACATATCTTGCAATGAAGGGAGCGGGGCCTCCTCATCCTCAGATAACGAATCTTTAGGTAACGAGGCAGTTGATACCTCGGCTGGGAGTGCGGATTTATGAGCTGTGAGACTTGGAGATAGTGGAGAAGTAGGTGGCGTTTCATGCATCTCAACATCGGATTGCCGTGGCGAGCTAGATGTTGCTGGTTCTTCCACAAACCCCACAGGCTTGTAGTTAAACCTCGCGAAGAGACTCGACTTGGTGATCTTCTTTTTTGTCCTTGCCTGGTGGGCCAATTGCATGTTTCGTGCCATGCGTTGTGACTCTCGGTGTATCTCTTCGACGGCTTTCTTGCTAGCCTTCCTCGTTGGTCGAACTTGTTGTGTCAATCGACGTCCTCCATCGTCGTCGCTACCGACTAAGTCGTCGTCCTCAAGTAGTGCCCGTTCTTCAGCAGCGGCCTTCCTCCGTGCCAAATCGGCGGCATCTTTTTCGGCGCGTTCCTGTCGCTTCCTCTCAAGAATCGCCTTGAAGCGGTCGGTCGAAGTTACCGCAGATAGGTCCACAGGCAAGTCCTCCGAGTCGGAATCCGCTGGGGGTGAGCTTCTAGACTTATTGGGACTTGGCGATGGCGATACGAAGAGGCCGCCGCGACCAGAGTCTTGCGACCTTGGAGGGCTCGGCCTGGGCGAACTTTTCTGCCGTATCCGATGATTCGACCTGGACGGAATGACAATACCCTCGTCGTCACTTGCGTCTGCCTGATTTGTGGTTTGTTCCTCCTGTGCGGGCTTTTTCTCGGTCATCAGAGACTGAAGCATCCTCTCCCTTGCAGTCATGCCCTGATCGCCGGCATCACTTGTACTATCGTCGTTCTCTGTCTCCGACTCGGCTGCTGCATCATCTTCGCCCAATGATGTTATACCCAGGAATCTCCTCCTCCTTTCTGCCTTTGCCTTTTCCATATCCTTCCCCTGCTCGACATCACTGTCGCTCATTGCTATGACTTCTTGTTCGTCGGCGTCCATTGAATCGAGCATTCTTGCTGCCAGTCGTCCACGGGCACGAGGTTTAACCACCGCTCCCCCATCAGAGTCATCATCGTTCGATTGTGCTTCACTCGCGAGGTCGGATAGTGGCAAGGTCGCCATCGAATGGATTGGTGAAGACGCCTCGGGAGCAACATCCATCATGGCGACTGGAGCAGCCATTGTAGGCTATGATTCCAGGATGCGAGGAAAACCAAACAATTAATAGACGCTTATTTGTTCATTGGTAAGGTATGTAATAATTTTCGTGTTTATATTGTGTTTGTGTTTGTGTTTGTTGTATTTCAATACTGTGGAATTGGTGGAAGAGATATAAGAGAGCAGTGGCTGGTTTTGAAACCCCGATGGGCGATAAATGGCTGTCAACGCGACGCGACGCGATATTGCTGTCGCGAAGAGCGGCGGCCGCTTCCGTTAAGTGCGCTTGGCGCTAACCTTGAAGGGTCCAAGTCCCCTAATCCCGCCATCTCCAAACATCATACTATAGACTCTGAATGATTAACTTCAACTTCAATATATGGCATAAATCAAGAAGTCCATGTTGTCCTTCAGGACGCTGATATATTGTATTATCTTCTCATAATAGCGAAATTTATTCGTGCCCGAGAGAAGAGAACCGTTTTCGATAATTACCACCAAGTACCTTAACCAGACACCATACACTATGGGTCGTGTAGACCTCCGGCGCTTCAACGCCAACAATTGGGAAACTCTCAGAAGATACCCTTTGGCTGAGATCTCAGGGGCCCTTGGGGACCTAGGCACTCTTCTCCCGCTGATGATAGCCCTCGCCCTCCAAAACTCCATATCCCTTTCCAGCACCCTCGTCTTCTCCGGACTATGGAACATCCTAACCGGAGCCATTTTCGGAATCCCACTCCCGGTGCAGCCGATGAAGGTAGAGTCGCCTCCATTTCATCTTGTTATAATAGGGAAGAGGAAACTAAGTGAGGATTAGGCCATAGCTGCAGTTGCAATCTCGAGATCCTTCACAATCTCCGAGACCGTATCGGCGGGGTTTTTCGTGTCAGGCATTGTCCTCATATTTAGCATCACTGGGCTACTACACTGGTTCACGAGTGTCATCCCTACTCCGGTCGTGAAAGGGATCCAAGTTGGAGCTGGAATGTCGTTGATCTTGTCAGCTGGAACATCGCTCCTTCAACCACTCGGCTGGACCTCGCCGTCGTGGGCAGACAACCGGTTCTGGGGAATTGGGGCATTCCTGGCACTTCTCTGGACTCACTGCTTTCCACGGTTTCCTTACGCACTCATAATTTTTGTTATCGGGATTGTTCTGTCATTTCTACTTACGGGACCTTCCTACTTGCCGTCGTTGGCAATTTGGCATCCCCAGTTTCTGGTCCCATCGTGGAGTTCGTTCAAAACGGGAGCCATTGATGCTGGGCTTGGGCAGCTTCCTCTTACCACTTTGAATTCAGTTATTGCTGTTTCATTTTTATCTGCTGATCTCCTGCCTCATCTTCCAGCACCGTCAGTGACCTCTCTAGGTCTCAGCGTTGGACTAATGAATCTAATTGGAGGTTGGTTTGGCGCAATGCCCGTTTGCCACGGCTCCGGAGGACTCGCAGCACAATATCGTTTCGGTGCTCGAAGTGGGGCCGGTATTATCGTTCTTGGGCTGTTCAAGGTAGTCATGGGTCTCGTATTTGGTGAAACGCTGGTCGGTTTACTACATCAGTATCCGAAAAGCCTACTCGGTGTTATGGTGCTCGCTGCCGGAATAGAGTTGGCGAAGGTTGGTGAAACGTTGAACAACGGCGCCAGAGACCTGTGGGAGGAGTCGGAGGCCAGGGGGCCGTCGGTATTGCAAGGTGGTTCGGTAGCAAATGCGTTTAGGATACCGACTGATGAGGAGAGGGTGCAGAGGTGGACAGTGATGGTGATGACTATTGGTGGGCTTCTGGCCTTCAAAAATGATGCCGTTGGGTTCCTCGCTGGAATGTTGTGCCACTGGGCGTACAATCCTCCGTCTATATTTAGCCGCCAAACAGGATCACGGTGGAACTTCAACGTCCCTAAAATCCGATGGAAACGCAACACAGAGGAGCAGCAACTGTTGTCGTCGCCTTGATTAGAAGTCTCGTATTGGCTTTAGCAATTTAGAACTTGGGGTTCGCCGTCCATCATTCATGTATGGCGAAAACCCAATACAAGGGTGCTGTTAGTCAGTGACAAATGAAATAGAAGCTTCGTGAGAGTACCAGTCTAGGCATTGGTCCGGGAGGCCTAGTTCAAATAGACATTCTTGAAAAACAAAGTAAAGAAAAGCGTGGAAGCTGCCGTCCCAATATAAGTTGATGGGGATAGATATTATCATTCCATAAAGTGTGAGTAAACTCAAAAACAAAAAATAAAAGGAGTGTACCGGATTTGAACCAGTGAGTTATTTGTATCCACCGGATTGCTTTCAGTTGATAGACTTATACCCAACGTACAGTGAAAGTTTACAAATCAGGTCTGTTACCGTTACGCCAAACACCCCTTTGGCCTTATAGCCTTTCGGTTGGTCGTATTTGGTGCTAGGGATAGGGGGGGGCTGGGAAGGGGGCTAGTAGGGAACAACTTACAGAGCTTACAAGGAAAGACCTTACGTTCGAATGGACAAGCAAGGCAGAGGCTGCTTTTCAGGAACTTAAGACGAAGTTCACAGAGGGGCGAGTTGTGAATGGGCGAAAGGGGGAACAAGGGGATATCTATTCGTAGATACGAATATTTGGTGAATTTTTATATTCTACACCCCCTTTCCCAAGCCAACCACCCGACCTCCATCCCCAGGCCACCTACCCCCCCTTCTAGCGAACCCCCCCCCTTTCCCAAGCCAACCCTCCAGCCTCCATCCCCAGGCCACCCTCCCACCCATCTAGCGAACGCCCCCCCATTTATAAACCAACTTAATCACATTCCTCCCAGCGGCACAGTGGCGCAGTGGTAGTACCACTGTCTGGACAATCTGGCCAGCGCAGGATAAGGGAGGTTATGGATTCGACACCCGGATGACAGAAAAAAATAAAGAAAGGGTTTGGAAACGATCAATAACGACAAAAAGTAAAATCACAAAGTTGATTTTCTCCCTCATCAGATATCAAAAGATATCTGATGAGTCTTTTGCACTTTTGAGCTTTGAACTTATCTTTTTGTTATGAGGTTTGCTACTCAATGTCGCGGCCGAAGTGAACAAGCTGTATGGCCTTTCCAATACCAACAGCTCGACAGCATCAGGCTTTTGCATTTTTTAAGATTCTGACTTATTTTTTTGCTATGGGTTTTGGTACCTACACGAATATTATTATTTTACCATTATTGCCAAAACAATAAGTTAACGAACTTAACAAATAATTATATATAAACATAACCATGAGATTGCATTATATATCCAGTATTAATCCAAAGAACTCTTATCTCGGTCCAAATTCACGTCGTGGGCCCAGCCGCCTTTCTTTCCCCAGAACCGAGGGGATGTGATTCAATGGGAGGGCTATGTTATGAATCAAAAGTAAAGAATTACAGCACACGATGTAACTTTGGAACCCACATTTGAGTGGATAATAAGTTTATATTTGAACATTAATGCCCGTATTCCAGCGAGAGTTGCTACGTTAACTGAGTTTTAGACACCTCCCCTCTCCAAATGCAGAAAAATCAACCCTCCCCCCTCTTATAAGATAACTAATGCCCCCCTCCTACAATCAACCGCCAAAAATAAAGCCTTGCGCCGCCCAATAGTCCGGTTCTATTTGGTATTAGTTTTTCGTCGTTTTTCATGCTCTTTCCTTTCTTAGACTTGGTCTCGCCAAGGTCCTATTTCCAAACCCTTTCTACCCCTGTTGATTACGTCCGTCGCCGGCATCGCCGCCTTCGCCGCTCTTGAGAAACATGGCCTTGAAATCTGCATTGCTCTTCACCCCATTTTTCTCCCCAGACTCCGCGCTATTCCCATTTACGCCACCAGCAGCCGCCTTGCTGGGTCCCTTAAATCCCAAGCCCCTCTTCACACCTAGCCCTCCTCTCCCGCCGGCTCCGGGCCGACGAACCGTTGGTCCCGCCTGCATAAACGCCGTGCGCTGTTCCGGCTGCGCTTCAGTCTTCTTCCCCCCCCCCCCAATCACAATACGATCCGTCTTCCGTTCCCCCCCCGACGCGAACAGGTCCTTCAGTCGCCCAGTTCTCAGTCGTCGCCCGCCCACAATCTCATACCCCTCGAGCCCCAGGCTCGCCTTCCCGGCTGAAGCAACATCCTCAAACTCAACGATCGCACCCTGGTGGTCAGGTCGCAGCACGAGCTTCACCACGCGCCCGTACGGCGCGCAGATAGCCGATAGGCGGGCATCGTTCACCGTATCCGGCACGTTGAGAAGCGTGATGGTACGGGCTGTGATCTCGGCTCTGGACTGTCCAGCAGCGTGCGCGTGGTTGTTAGCCGCAGCCGGTGACCCAGCACCCGACATCCGGGAGTCAAGGTCATTGCTCGGTGCCGGGGATCCCGCAGCCGAAGTGCTAGTGGTAGCCGTGGCCTTGAAATTTGTCGGGGTCGCGAGCTCGACGGTTAGAACCTGGGACCAGAACTTCGTCTTATCTAGCTCGAGGGCCTTGGTGGCTTCTTCTGCCTTGGCGAAGACGACGAAGGCGGAGCCTTTACTCTTGCCCGCGATGTTGCGGAGGATCCGGACAGATTCTACAGCGCCGTATTTCGAAAACACGGCCTGTAGGTCGTCCTCGGACGCGCCGCGGTCAAGGCCGGCAATGTGGATCTCGCGGCCCTCAAGCATGGCGCCCTCGCGCGGCTTCTTGCGGCTAGGGTCCGAGTATTTAGCCTCGAGTTTGTATTTGCCTTCGAGCAACTTGCCATCGAGGGCAGTAGCAGCCGCCGCGGCTGCGGCAGTCCTGAACGAGACATAGCAGAAGCGGCGGTGGGTGTTATACTTGAGACTCGGCCAGCGGAAAGAGAAGATTTCACCGCAGTCTTTAAACAGGTTGCGCAGGTAGTCCTCGTCGGCGGTGGGCGGGTAGTTGGTTACGTAGAGCGTGAGGCCCGTGCCTGGTACGACAGATATCTGCTTATCGGCGAAGTATTTGTCATCGCGGAGGAGAGCGGATTGGACATCTTCGACGGAGCGGAACTCGATCAATGCGGTTGCCGACTGCTTGTCAGATTCAGGTTTGAGTGTAAGATTGTTGATGTGTCCGTATTCCTTGAAATACTGTCTCACCTTCGTCTGAGTAGCCTCCAAAGGGAGGTTAGAGACGAGGATGCTTGTATTTTCGCGATCGCGTTTGACACTTTGTGCATCTAAATCTTCGCCTCCTGCCTTAAATTTTTTGGCGGCATTGCCATCCACTTCAGCAGCAGCATCTCTTTTCCTCTTCGATCCCGACGGCGATTCATCAGCTGCGATAGCTTCGGCGGGTTGGACAAGTCTTTGCTGCTCTGCATAGGCGGCAGCTGCCTCCGCCGCCTCCCGCTGTCTCCTCTTCGCCACTCCTTTACTGTTTCGGTGAACAAAATCGATGGCGTTTGCGACGTCAACTGGAAACTCGTACGTGCTACAATGCGAAAGGTACATCTCCATAATCTTCTCTGGCCAATCCAAGGTCCGTCTCTGGATGGCCTGCTTGAGCAGAGCAGCTGCGAAGGGCCGAGTGTTGTCTGTATGTGGCATATCCATCTCCCACTGGTAGTACCTCAGCCAAAACTCGTAACTATCGCCGTGCGGCTTAACCAAATCATGCCACTGCGAGCGTGCTTCAGTAATCAGACCTTTTTGCGTCAAATACTGAATCCAGCACCGTTGAATCTGGAAGGTAGGGTCGCCTTTGGCATTCTTTCGGTCGGCAGGCTCTCCCCAGTGCTCCACGCCGTCAAGGGCTGATGGCATTCCAACATCCGCAAGATCACCATCCTCGTCAGTGGCATCCCTATCAACAGCCCTGCGCCGTAGATAATTACACCACGCACCGTACACCATGTACACATCTGTCATGCCATTGCGGTCTAGCTGGTCAGAGCTTGTGGCGGCATGCTTAATCTGCTCTACATCTCTGAAGTCAAGATGTTCGATCTCAGCGCGCAGCATGTATCGTGACCATAGCATTCCTGACCATGGGCAGTGCTTCACCGATCTCTGCAGAAGCTGAAGAAGGTCGGGGCAATCCTGTGGACGGCCATGGGACGCCCCAATGTAGCCATTGACAGCACCAGCATAATCTTCCCACAGCGTAACATCAGTAGGGAGAATGAGGAGTGCTCTTTCGTAAAGCGCAAAACACAGAGCAGGAATTCCGTTCTTCTTTCGGCTCTGGATCGTCTCCCACTCTAAGTATTCTGTAAGAACAGCCTTTTGCTTCTCCTTATCGCCAGACTGTACAGATCGTACGAGGCTCAACTCCTGGTCCTCACGCTGTCCGTATATCTCCTTGGCATTCTTCGCGAGCTGTGTACTCCACACCATCGTCTCCTCCCAGTGCGCTTCGTCGTATCTCGTCACAAACGTAGAGAAGGCCTGAGATGTCTCCTCCCACGTCGCATGCGGCACCTGCAGTCGATCCAGATACAAAGCCTTCACGCGCTCCACAGCCGCTGGCGATGGTGCCTTGGCTAGCAGCCACAGCTCGAGCGATATGTATCTGTTCCACAGGGAATGGCTGTCGTCAAGGCGGTAACGGATAGCATGCGCGCCCTGCTGCCACATATCGATGGCGGTATTGAGAGAGAAGACCTCCTGGCCCAGGTGCTGCTCCTCCTCTGACCAGCCCGCATCGGAGGACTGGCAATCTGTGTGTAGCGACCAGATCCATTCGCAGTATTGCACCCACAATCGCAGGCTGTATGGCTCGGCGCTCACGGCTCGCTTGTACAGCTCCACGACCTCGACTCGCTGCTCTAGGTTGGCAGCGCTGCGACTGCCCTCGTCCACGAGCGACACCCACGCATCCTCTCCTACAGGTTCACCCATGGTCGTCTGTTGGTCGTCATGGAAGGGCTTGGCGCCAGGGTCCGTTATAAAGCCAGCTTGGTCGTCGAAGGTTGTCAGGTATGCGACCTTGTGAGTACGAAGATTCGACGAGATGGGAGAGCAGTTGTAAGGCTTCTAGTAAATCAACGCGTCTGTTCGGATTGCGCGCGATCATGGCGATGTGCAAATGATGGCCGGAAGCGGACTAGCGCTGGTGTTCTGCCCAGCTTACCCGCCTTGGCCTGGCTCGAAATTCTACGGCGCCGAGACGGCAAACAACCTCGCGAGCCGCAGGAAAATCATCAATGCAATGCTCAGCACCAGCAATATGAGCCTCCCTCTGCGTACCAGGCGGGTGGCTACCTCTGGTGCGTCTTAATAACCTCCAATGCCAACAACCCAGTGCTAATATTTTCATCTAGTCACCCCCTTCACCTCCTCGATCCCCCAATACCGCACAGCATTTTGGAGCTCAAAAGGCCGCGATGAGACCCCCTCGAAACCCGCTCCCCGCGACCAGCTCCACGAAGAGTTCGTAAAAACCAAATCCTCCACCCCAGTGGCCCCGAAGCGCGGCGGCCTCGCCTCCTCCTCCATCTTCGAAGACGAAGCCGTCGCCGGCCGCGTCTCCACCGACACTGGCCCTGTCGGAATCACGCGCAATCCGCGCAATATGGCCGCAGCACTCGATCCCGACCCAAGCAGCCGCGAGCGCTGGCAGCGCAAGATGGTTATTCGCGAGATCACGGCGCGCGGGCGGCTGAGCAAGGCCGAGACGCTGAAGCGCTCGGAGCGCGTCAGCCACAGCAAGAGCCACAATTACCAGACGAGCGTCAAGAAGTTGGGGCCGTTGGCGAGGCAGATTACCGGGAAGCCGCTGGAGGAGGCGATTGTGCAGATGCGCTTCTCGAAGAAGAAGGCTGCGCAGGGGGTTAGGGAGCACTTGGTGCATGCGCGCAATGAGGCGATTGTGAGGAGAGGGATGGGGCTGGGGAAGGAAGAGGGCTTCAAGGCTGTGCAGATCATGACGAAGGATGGGAAGAGGATGAAGATTGAGGATCCGTCGCGGTTGTACATCGAGCAGGCTTGGGTTGGGAAGGGTGATTACGGAAGAACTCCTGATTACAGGGCACGTGGGCAGATCAACATTATGAAGAACCCTACAACGCGTAAGTCTGAGCTGAGATGAAGACGGTGTTGTTGAAAATATACTGACTGTCGCAGATATCCACGTCGTCCTCAAGGAGGAAAAGACACGTATCCGCGAGAACCATGAGTGTGAGGCCAAGATCGCTGCACGAAAGACGTGGGTTCAACTCCCGAATCGCAAGATTACGTCTCAGAGGCAGTTCTACAGCTGGTAGAAGGGTCGTCGGGTGCGAATGGAACTTGTAGACTGTAGAATAGGCATATTTACTGTACAATACTAAACTAGACTAAACTAGATTTTTCAAAGATCATGATATGGAGTGTATAATACTGCGCAAATGGCCCCAAATTCAGTATGTTGCGTGTCGGTTCAACGAACAAATCCAAGGTTCGATCCTGACGAAAAATGTCCTTCAGCGTTCTCATCATAGATTAGACTGCCGAAGTTGGAGAAGCAGGTCAACTGCTTCCTTCGCTGTCCCCCACGAGGCCTGGTACCCAGCACCTCCAGCACCATAACTATGGACGACAGTCCTCCCATCCATAGCCTCCCTCCCTACCCTCGCCCCTCCCTTTCTGCTCGGCCTCAGCCCAAGACCATGCTTAATGACCTTCAAATCCTCTGGCTTTCCCAGCTCGGGACAAAGCTCACAGCAGCGCCTCTTGATGTCTTCCGCGAGATCAAGGTTCACTTCTCCCGTCCACACGCCATCCAGTCTGCAGCCGCCTAGGATGACGCCTCCATGCTTGCCACGAGGGAAGACGTAGGTGGTATCTGAGTGCGTCCGTTGTGGCGAGCGGAAGTACATCTTCTCTATTGGCGTCTTCGGGCTCTCGACGAGTATGACTTGCCCCTAGATGCTGTCAGCAACGGCCTGTAGCACAGATACTTGTCAAATATACCATAGTTGGGTAAAGTTCCTTATCCTCGACTCCCTTGAGGCTATAGCTGCCTATTCCTGTGCAGTTCACGAACCCCTCTGCTTCCGGAAACTCCTCAAACACCTCCTTGATGTCCCCAATTACCTTTCGGCGAACCTCTACACCAGCCTTAATCGCCTCCGTAAGAAGCCTGATCAAAATTAGCCCCTCTTCCATCTCCTCTTTTCTGTGGCCTCTCCTCCAAATACCGAAAAAGGAAGACCTACCAAGGCAAATACGTCGTAACATCCACCACAAAAGTATCCAACTCATACCCAAACTTCACCCCCTCAGGCAACTCCTTTACCTCCCTCAACCCCCCCACAAGCTCCTCGTACCAAATCTTCCCATCCGGACTCAGCACCCCCGCCTCCTCTCTCTCCTTATCAAACATCGCCCGAATCGGCATCCTCTTCACCCCCGCCTCGGGCCTCCCATCCGCCAGCTCCCCAAACTTAACAAACGTAACCGCATCCCGCACCTCTGCGCGCCCTCCATCAGTCGCCACGCTTAGCCAGTTCGCGCCCGCCCAGGGAGAGGCATATGTGAGTGCTAGGTCGCCGGGGAGGTGGTGCGCGAGGAGCAAGATGCGCGCGCTTGGGGAGTGATTTTGGAGGGTTAGGGCTGTGGTGAGGCCGATGACTCCTCCGCCGAGGATTATATAGGCTAGTATTGTCAGATTGAGCTGTTTGAATGACTGTGAGGGGATTGTGAGGGGACGTACTTGGTTGACCCATAGCTACGGGGATGGCGAGGCTGCGGGTTTTTATGAGTCGGAATTTTTTTTTTCCCGACTGGATAGGATGCTAATGCGTAGTTTCTGCAATCTGCTGATATATTAAGAGATATTATCTGACAAAAGAAGTATGAGCAAGAAGTATGATTGAGTCGAAAGTTCTAGTCTCCGAAATCGCTGTGGTATTGCCGTCGCAGATGCAGATGCCCATCTGCCCCTCATTCAGCCTTGTCTTGGTAAATGGGAAATATTGGTTCTCCACCAAAATTATTGGACATACCACAGTGAGGCTGGCTCAGTCGGGTATGCCGATAGGTGAGATAGTACGCCACTTATACCATATAATATTATTGATTGGGAGGGAGTGAGGTTGTGTGGTATGATGTCTTCACCTGACGCTCTGAAAGGGAGAGAGGGGTGCGGCTGAACGTGGAGGAACGGCAAACCATTACCAGGGAGAGAAGGGCGTTCATATGAGATACAAAAATAATCAATGGGTCAAGGCCTAAAGGCGAATAGGTTCATTCATTATTTTTCCCAAAGGTAAATAGGTTCAATAATGCTCCCACTCAACAAGTTATTATCCAAAGTGCCTCGAGCTATTACAGGCTCCGGTCGAAAGGCTGTGGCAGATTGGGGCTTTAACACGAAGGCATCACATCTCAAGCTTGTCTACCAACTGCGATAGACTGGAGATGGGCGTTCATACTTTACTTATGGCTATGGGGATTGAGACAATGCGAATCAGAATGGAATAGGAGCTAGCATCCAGAGATGCGATGGGGCCAACTTCATTGCTCCTTCCCTCCTTGTCCTTGGTTGGTCCCTCCTGTGCCGCCCCTTCCTGTCATAGTACCTTCCTGTCGTTGCTCCTTCCTGCCGCCGTTGCTCCTTCCTCACGCCAAACCTTCCAGCAACAAGTTCGCTCCTTCCCGACCCTCTACCCGCAGCCTCTATTCCCCTTGCCATCTGCTAAACAGCCGCCTTGGTGTAGAATAGACGCGTCGTTGCCCCTGTTACAAATCTCCCGCTCCGTCAACTTGCCACGCACGTATATATTCATATTTATATTATAACAACTAGCATCTTGTATTCCCACATCCAACCCTCGGGGAGGAAGATTCTGCGCGAGCGGAATCTAAGGCAATCGCAACTCCCGTTGTGGTAGCGAGTGTTGTTCTTGCACTAGCGGGCGTCTCATTTTGTTTGGGACATACACTAATCCTTTGAATCGGATCAATCCTTGTTCATCGATGGCGAAGTCGCCTTCGGTTTTTATTAAGACTCGCTTTGCACATTCATCTGTTGCATAAGCTTTCTTGAGTCTTTCTTCCAACTCCGAGTTCTCCACAGTGGCAATCGTGGCTAGCAACTCGTTGTATTGCATTCCTGCATCTGTTTTCTTCAATATGGCTCTAGGTCTTTCCTCTTTAGGGCCGATGTAGTCAGTCCTTCTGCTAAGAGCATCGGCTCTTGCATTCTCAGAGCCCTTGCGATATGTAATCGTGAAGTTGTAGGCTGCGAGTGTCTCTGCCCATCGGACTTGTCTGCGGTTTAAAACCTTGGTTGTGGTGAAGTATATGAGATTCTTGTGATCCGTCCATACCTGTACTGGGTAGGTCGATCCTTTAAGATATACTCGCCATTGCTCAAAAGCAACGACAATAGCTATCAGCTCCTTGTCGTGGATGTCATAGTTGAGCTCTGCAGGTGACAGTTTTCTAGAGTAATATGCAACTGGCTTAAGCTTCTTGTCTTTGTCTGGCTGACTTAGACAGGCTCCAATCGCGAAGTCAGAGGAGTCTGTCTCTAAGACAATCCTCTTTGCAGGGTCGAATGTGACTAGGATAGGTGCTTCTGTGAACTTCGTCTTAAGTTCCTGAAAAGCAGCCTCTGCCTTGCTTGTCCATTCGAACATAAGGTCTTTCCTTGTAAGCTCTGTAAGTGGTTGAGCTACCTTGGAATATCCCATAATAAACCTCCGGTAGAAGTTGGCAAAGCCTAAGAAGGCTTGTACTTCTTTGACCGTGGTTGGTGTTGGCCATTCCAACACTGCTGTGACCTTTGCTTGGTCCATTTTGATGCCATGCGTTCCGACAATGTAGCCTAAGAATTCTACTTGATCCTTGTGGAATTCGCATTTTTCTGGCTTGAGGAGTAACCGATGCTCCTTTAACTTCTGTAATACCTTCTGAACATGACCAATGTGTTCCGTTGGGTCTCCTGAGTAGACTAAGATATCGTCTAGGTAGACGATAACAAACACATCCAAGTATTCATGGAGAGCTGCATTCATGAGCCTCTGCATGGATGCTGGTGCATTTGTTAGACCAAAGGGCATAACCAAGTATTTGAACAAGCCATAGCGGGTGCGGAATGCTGTTTTCCACTCATCCCCTTTCTTGATTCGAATCAGGTTATAGGCGCCTCTGAGGTCCAGCTTGGTAAATATCTTGGCTCCCTGGAACCGATCGTGTAGTTCGCTTATCAAAGGTAAGGCATATCTATCTTTGATAGTGACATTATTCATTCCTCGATAGTCCATGCAGAGTCTTAGCTTCTTGTCCTTCTTTGGCACAAATAGTATTGGACTTCCTGCTGGTGATGTCGATGGTCGAATGAACCATTTTGCGAGGTTCTCGTCAATGTATTCCTTCAGTATGTCCAGCTCTGCTGCTGACATCTGATATATTGGTCCGAACGGTGGACTCTTTCCTTCCATGATAGGTATCTCATGATCCCATGGTTGGTGCTTAGGAAGCGCCTCTTCGTTAGGGCCTTCCTGGAATAACTGCTCGTATTCCTTATACTCCACTGGTATTTGCTTCAGTGAGGATGCCTGGGCTGGGTCATCAGACTCGGTGGTCGCACATAACTCCTTCCGGTCTTTGGAGGTTTTCTCCTTCTGCGGCATGTCCGTTCGTTGTTCACATGCGCATTGGCTCATCACAACTTTCTCATTCCGCCAGTCGATCTGGGGGTTGTGTTTCTTGAGCCACGGTACACCAAGTATGCATGCATGATTGTCCATGTGCACGATATCAAACTGTATCGTTTCCTTGTGTCCGCGTAGCATGACCATTTCTAATGGGACCGTCTCGTGGGTCACCATTCCATTGTTAGTTGAGATGGGCTCTCCATCTACAACCATTAATGGGTATGGATCGGTCTTCAGCTGCATCCTGAAACCGTGTGTGTCTGCTACTTTCTTTGTCATAAAGTTGCCCGTTGCTCCTGAGTCTATCATAGCTCGGAGGTGTTGCTGTTGTATCTTAGCAACCACATATAGCTGCATGCCGCCCATTGTGGCGCATAGCTGGTTTGTACTAGGCCTCTCTGTGTCGCTCGCCAGTGGCCTACTGCCGAGGACTCCTAGTTTTTTGAATCGTCTGAGGAATAACCGTCTGAGGAAAATCCATCATGTTCACCATATTCTAATGGTCGTAGAAGTGGTGTCCCTTCTCTTCTTCGTTCTGCTTCACGGCGTAGGCGTTCGTGTGCTTCTAACACTCGTGTTCCCTTTTCTTCTCTTGGGATGCTTTCCTGCTGGTGAGGGTATTCCGGTCGGCACCTCACTGTGCGAACTGCAACCTCCCAGTATTGTGTAGTGTCCTGCCAGCTCATTGGTGGCTTGGGCACAGGAATTCTTTGATCGACCGTCTCCTGAAGCATGGCTTCCTTGAAGGTTCTTACTGCTCCTGGCAGTTGTTCCTTGAAGAGAGTCTTACTTGCTGTCTTCTCAAATGCTTGTAACCATTGCTTTTGAGAACTAGTGAGCTCCTTGTCATCGTTCTTGTCTTCTCTGTTTGACAAGTGGAATTCCTCGAGATCCTGAGTAGTAATACTCCAGTTCTCTTTTCCTTTTAACGTGGCACATAGCTGTCCTCGTGGGGGCTTGCACCCGCCTTGACCTTGCCAAGTAGCATTAAGCTGTTTGCCATACTTTTGTCCTCCATTCCCTTTCTTTGACTGTCTGCAGTTTCGCGCTATGTGTCCAGGCTTATTGCAGTTGAAACAGAGCCGTTCTTGGAACTGTCGCTCCTTGTTGGGATTGTGGGGTTTGCCATTAGGCTTGAAAGTAGCGTCAAGTTCCATAGGTTGGGGCCAATGACTCTTTGTTTGTCCTCTCTTCTGAGTCCAGTGTTGACTAGGTGGTCCCCCTTTCTTCTCGAGTTGCCGTTCGTAGTGACGATTGTCAATCTTCTGAGCCAATTCAATCATCTCTCTAAGGTCATCTGGTTTGTCAGACCTTGAGATTTCGTCCTTCACATGGTCTTTCAGACCTGCGTAGAATTGGTCACAGATAGCCTCGTCTCCCCAGTTGGTGAGTGTTGCATGCTGTTGAAACTCAGCGGTGTATGCAACTGCTGACCCTCTCTGCTTGAGAGCCTGGAGTGCCCTGACTGCATTTCGTCGTTCATCAATGTCTCCGAAGTTTGCCTTAAGCGTTTTGAGGAATCCGTTCCAGGATACAAAAATTTCCTTCGTTCCTTGGCTAGCTAAGGTGTTGCATTTTCCGTCGGGTGTTCGATGGTTCATGTAGTCGGCGAGGTAGTTAGAGATCCATTCTGAGGCTGGTCCTCGAAAGAGTGCCACAGCCCATAGGACCTGTTCCACTTCTTTGTTGAAGTGTTTGGCGTTAAACGCCATCCATAGCTCTGTCTGGATGATGAAGCTCTTAAGCTTCTTGCGATCCCCATGAAAGGTGTCTGGGAATGCAATCTTCAACTTGTCTGAAGGGTGAGCCTGTGGGGCTTCGATGGTAGGTTCAGTAGCAGCCTTCCCCTTCAATCCAACATTTGATCCAGTATCGTCTCCAGCCATGTTGCTTTGTGTGTAAGCTGGTACCTCGTGGAAGTGGTGCTCAAAGTGTAACGCTGACTTCTAAATGATAGAAGACACAGAGGTTTCTTGCGTAAGGTTGACTTGACAGAGGAGGCAGGGGATTAGACACAGGCTTTCCAAGTAACACGTTACAGTATTGTAAAGAATACTATATTGAGTTGAGCACGAAGCTCCTATCTAAGGAAATACTATCTACTTATATAGTGGCGTCGTGCCTCATGGGTAATCTGGATAGTTGGCGGATAGCTAGATATTCAGGATAGTTTGTGGATAGCTCAACTATCCATTAGCCCCGTCACATGGCAGCCTACCCCGCTTCCCACTGTGACTCACACGTCACGTTACTAGGCCCTGGCCCTGTAACCATGACATCATGTTACTATAGCCGTAACAAAAGGGTGCATCGCAAATAATGCATCAATTAGCATTGTTAAAAGCAGAGAACCAAAACCTGCGACAGACAAATGAAGTGCTAAGCAAGCGCCGGAGAGCTAAAAAAACACGACTACAGCAAGGAGGATCACTTAGTCAACAGGTAGCACAGGAGCTACAGGACGAGAGGGACATTGTGCAGCAAGTAGAGCAAGAAATAAGGGCAAGTAGTGGTCGGAAGCCAAGGGAAGAAACTCTTGTATGCGACACTCACTTGTGGAGGACGTTACTCGATATATGCATTAAGTCGATATATTTTTGTGGATCCGAGGCATCGACTTATCGTATTTTTACTGTAGTCACATTAAATTAAGCTTTTTAGTGTGCCTGCCAGTCTGAGTCAAAGTTTAATATCATACGGTGATTGGACACTAAATTACAAGTGCGACCGACACCTAGTAGACCACATGAAAATCGCCTATTATCAGCCTGTAATTATAAAATCGTTGTATACCGTGGTCTAGATTTTGTCTGGCTTTTTATTGTGATACCTCAATCTATCGTGCGCCAACCGTGACCGTATTGACACCTACTCTCAATCCATTACAAAATGCCGCCAACCATACCGCCATGTATTGCCTCATCATTGTCAGCCGACGACCAGGAGGAAGTTTTGGCACTGACAATGAGGTCAGTGTCTGCGTCGACCGCGTTTTCGTCTCTGCCAAGTACAAGCTCGACTTCAGACTTTGTTAATGCGAAGATTGAGAGCCTCGCAGCCGATATAGCTGCGGGAAGTCATCTCAAGGAAGCCCTCCGTGACGCCAAGAAACGAAAGGCTGTGGCAGAGAATGACTTTATTGAGACGATGAGCAAGACGGAGGCGGAGTTGGCGGAAGCAGAGAGAGAGCTGGTGGTGGTCAAGCGCCAAAAGAAGATGATCGTCGATGACCTTGATGAAATGTTACCCAATTTTGATAGCCTCGGAAGCGCATACGCTGTGACCATCACGTCTCGAATCATGGCCGCTACCTGTCGCCAGAGAAAGGGAAGGCCATTCAATCAAAAGGCATTCGCCCAAGGCGTGCTGGATTATTATGGGGCAAAGAGGAAGACAGACAGTGGCGGCTCAGAGAAATATTGTCACTTGACGGGGTGGCACGATGCAGAATTCGTCAAATGCGCGCACATCGTGCCGAAATCCCTAGAGTCGGATGAGCTCGCATACCTATTCGGTGTGCGAGAGACAGTACTATCAGAGTCGAGAAATGGTAAGCCTGTCTGTCGTGTCATGGAACCTGCTAATAAAGAGTAGGACTAACTCTTCTTCGATCCATCGAGACCGCCCTCGACAATGGCGGAATAGTCTTTGTTCCCGACAAGCCGGCTCCAGGGGAGGATACCGTCTGGAGATGCCTATTGCTAAAGCAGGACAAGGCATCGGATGAGTATCTGAAGCCTAGAAAGTGGAGGGAGCTCGACGGGAAGGAGCTTACGTTCCTGACGCCCAATCGCCCAGCCCGTCGATACCTCTACTTGAGGTATATTATTACTCTTCTCTACCAGAAGAGAGAAGGGAATATGGACTGGGTCGATCAAGTACTCAACCGGACTGATGCAAGAGGGTATATGTGGGCTACGCCAGGCGCATACCTTAGGAAGACCATGCTTGTCATGCTCGCCCGCAAAGTGTCCGACCACTTCTACCCAGAGGCATTCTATGGGCAGTCGACTTTTGACAATGCCGACGGATGTCCTGGCCGCAGCGCTGAAGCCGAAGAAGACCTAGCGATGGGATTTAACCTGAGGATCGAAGACGCATTTGCCGAGGCCAAGCAGAATAGCAAGGGCGAGGAAGAGTCGGGCGGCGAATCGGACGGCGACGAGGGTGATTAGTGAGTGTTCTGTGGGTACAGAGGGGGCCATTGCTGCCCCCCTACCCGTCCTTTTTGTTTGCTTGTGTTATTTGGTAGTCAGCTGGTGTATCGATTGTATTGCGCAAGGTTATTCTGGTTTGCTTGATTCTGGCTATTGTATCGTCTTGGGGTCTGGGGCTGTGCCGTCGCTGTTCGAAAGTCAGCAATGTTGTTATGCTTCATAATTTTCTTGCTAAAATCAGAGTGTGAGTAGTTGCGTCAGATCGGTCCAAGATAGTGGGCATTATTCCAATCAATCACAGTTTCACGTTATATCAGATCAGGAATGTATACTTGTCATCAACTGTGATTCTTCTCGTCGACCTTGCTCTTGTCCCCGCCTGCACAGCATCCCATCAACCTCCCGTACCCTGCTCCCCACTGAGGGTCCAAGGATCGCGCCAGGTGGTCGATGGCGTACATGAGCGTGACATTGTCACTGACCATAGCCAAATCAAACGTAGACTCTTGGCACTCCTTGGCGGCCATTTCCGCGACAACGATGATGGCATCCTTGGTCATGGCGCATAGGCGTTCAGTGGCGTTGGTTTCGGTGAGGGCATATAGAGTGGTGAGGCCGTCGTCTGCTGGCAGCCCGAATTCCTGGAGTAGGTCGGCCCGAATAGTTGTCTAGTGATGCTCGGAGTGACCCTCATGGCGTTGGAAGAGTTGTCCGCCGTGGACTCCATTACGGCCTACTCTATCACGAGGATGAAATCATAGGTAATGGTAGTGTAGGGTTGTATACATAATTACCTAATTATCGTAGACACACCATTATTGTAGACCCGAAACAAGAAGCGGCATAGTATATTCCACTCGTCTCTACGATAAAATACTGATATATTTCAGCCCTCTTCCGAGCCAGGACTGCCGAAGTAGTGGCAGTAAATTTAGGGCTCTATTGAACGATGGGTACAGTTGATTTTTGGCGTGTTGCTTTGTTCGGTCGAGATGAGGATCTTTGATGTAATAGTCAGCACAAATCGACCTCACCTTAGACCAAGTCATCGAGAGCCGCAATTATGAGAGACTGACGCAAATTATGGATAATGTATTAACGACTTGGGAGGGATAGTCAAACTCACAGGTTAAGCTATTCCACCATCGACCACGAGAAAGCCGCGCCAACCCCTGATTCCACTCCGGCCACTGCCACACAAACATACCACCCACACCCACGTTGCCGATACCACCGCCGGGTATATGAGCACCACAGACACACCGCGAAAGGGGTCATCACACACAATGACGTCCGCATCAAAGCCCTGTTTCCTCATCCAACGCTGCATCCTCCCGACTGAGCCCAATTCGTTGCGCCTGGGGCAAGGGAAGGACGACTGGCAACCCCATCGTCTGACCGGCCAGTACACAGGGAATTCGCTTTCTCACGCACCAGGCACAGGCTGTTGTGGGGTGTGTATTGGGTCCATTTCTCGTAATACCGTACCTGAACGCACGCCGGTTCACACACGAAACCGTGTCTTCGACAGTGGGCCGCGCCCAGGGCGGCTCCGACAATTCTCCCTCCCTAAATCTAGCCTCCCACATTGGTTTCATCCTTTCGTTGTACTACTGAGGTGGGCACGTCTGATCTAGTCCTGAGGGATTCATGGACGCATCGTCCGCCGACGAAGAAGACAAAATCGTTCTCGTTCTCCTGCATGTTATCATTGAAGCCGTCCATGATCTCGTCATCCTCAGATTATTGTTCGAGATGTTCACGACGTCAGTACGCTCTTGTGTGGCAGTGAATGTTGCCTGCTGCTCGTCTGTGGCGGTGTTCGAAAACTGCTCCAGAGTGGCAGATCTCGAGTCCCGGTCGTCTGGCGCCACATCATCCAGACTTTGCCTCGGTCGCTAGTTCTCTCTCTCATTGCCCGGGTTACTCGTTAACCTGCAGCTGAAGGTCTCTGGTGTTGCTTCTCTGTTTGTCGTGGATGCGTTTTGATGTCTCCTTGCATGTCTTTTAGCCTTTTCTCATTAGCCTCTCTTATTGACTTCTCTTGTTCCGCGTGACTGTCAATTTCTTGTTTGAGTATTAACACGCGCTCCCGTTGCCGTTCACAGTTGCCCCTTGCAGCTTGTGAGGCTTCACGCGCATTGTTCAAGGGATTCTCACAACGCCACCGCCTCTTCGGCATTGACGGCCAGACTATTTATCCGGACAACATCCTCGTCCACCCGACTTTCCAATGTGCCAATGGTGGAACGAAGAGCATCGAACTCGGCATTGTGTTCGACAATCAGAGTCTCGTATGACTTTATTGTACCATGGAGTTTACCCATGTCCTTTCCGAGTCTGCCTATTTCGCTGCTTGGACGTTGGCCTTGGGTCTGTTCCCATCTGCCACAGTTCGTATCTTGTTAATTTCGTTCTGTAATTTGTCGTTATCGGTCGACATGAGGCATATTTCGCTTTCTTGCTCGACAATTTGCTGTTGGTTCTCATTTGCCGTGGCCTTTAGTTCTTTCACTGAGTTTCAGAGCGAATTGTTGTCGTTCAATATCCTCTTGTCTCGATTGGCGAATAGTCGCGCGCAGATGTGACTTCCCTGTTGAGTCTAGCGACATCTTTATTCTGATCCTCAAGCGCCAAATGTTGTAGCGCTATAGTCTCCTGTTGTTTGGTGATTCTTGTTGTATAATGACGTTTTGGTCCCGAAGATTGTTACAGATCTTCTTCACATTTGTAATTTCCCAATCATGGGCACCCAAGGTAGACTTGTTAGATACAATTGTCTCGCCAAGATCTGCGACCTCCATAGTGAGACTGTCGTTACTTGCAGGGAGACGTTGAATTTCCTCCTTGAGCTCTACGAGCTCCTTGTTTTGGACTTCGTAGTCCGACAGACGAGATGCGGCAATGCGTCTCGATTCACCATTTTCGTCATGTAAGGAGTCGATGGTTGATTTGGCTTCGGCGATTTTGGCCTCGAGTTCCTTGATAGTATTCATGTATGAACCCTGTTCCTTGGTATGCGATTCGATGGTAGTAGTGAATTTTGCATGCTCTTCTTCCAATGTGTCCACGGCCAGCTGGTGTGACTCAATGATACCCTTCTGCAGAGCAACTTCTTTGTAAAGATCTTCAACTGATGCCTTAGCTGTCGTCAAACCTTCTTCGATGTCAATCTTTTCGCCTTTGGAGTCTGGTGACAATCCGTCGAAGCTCATTCGCCTCGTTTGTCGAGCGACCTTGCTCTTTTTTTGTCTTAATCCGTTGTAAATGAATAGAGAACAACGTTTTGTTGCTGGAGCCCCGAGAGTTCGCCATCAAGAACATTTTTTTCATTTTGGAGCTTTGTGATGCTTCATTGGAGCCCCGTTATTCTGTCCGCCAGTTGATCCTGCTCCTGTTTCGAATTGATCCTTTGTTCCTGACAGTCTGAGTCAACCATTTCTTTTTGTCACCGCAGCTTCTTTCGGGCAAGCGAAGTTAACTGACCCTGTTCTGCCCACTCACAGTTCACCGTCGTTGTCCTCTTCCTCTCTTCCGACATACTTCACCTCCTCCGAAATGTTAAATCGATTCATATCACCTTGAAGCCTCAGTAGCCACTTACGGATGAACTTCTTTTTAATACCGAGAAATCTGTGAGTGCTCTCTCTATCCCTTTCCGATTCACAAGAGTTCTTCGTCATCAAGTTCACATCGTTCCGACTTGGACTGTCAATAGCAGGACCTCACCGCATCAACCAGGCTGTTTAAGCATCGTAAGTCCGTTCCGCTCGCTTTGGTGAACGCCGATTTGTTATATTCACTTTATACTGACTCGAGATTTTCCAGGAAGCTCTCGCGCCATGAGCTGTCGTGCCAAACCCTTTTCGCGGATACTACGTCTGGTATATTTTACCATCCCTTTCCACCCGTTTTGACGGGCACGAGCCATTCGAATTCACCTGTACAGGAGACCTCGACCGCGGTTGGTGACGATTTTGCTTGGTTACAATTATTCGGCGCCTAAACACTGATTGACAACAATTGTTTTTCCGCATTGTGAGTCTATCTTGCTTATTTTGATGTGCACAAACTTCTCATTGATACATTATACTGACTCGGGTTAATGTAGATCCTCGGCCAACACGGACAAGATGGGTAACGACGTTGATGCCCAGCCTGGGAGGAGTACAGAATCACTAGGTAGAGCAGTCCGGTACCGAAAATCGGCCATTAAGAAGATGATTAGTGATTTCCTACCAGAAGATCGAGCAATCATGGATGCCTATTTGGAGAAGTATGAATCGGAGGCACGACTACGAAAGAACAAGTCCATGAAACAGCGAGAGTACAACTCGATGCCGTTAGTGGCTGGTACCGCAACTGTCCCCTCCGCAGTGCCAGACCATCAGGCAGAGATTGGTGGAAGTAGCGCGGCCGGCGCCCCCGAGGCAAACGATGGACACGCCGATGCCCCTGGAACGAGCGAACAATCGACACTGGAGTCAGGCGTTCAAGGCATGCTTGCTGTTCCTGCTACATTCAACAAAGTTGGTGGTAGTCCTACAGCCCCCGACGGGACTAGATCACCTGTCAGCCGCTCAGAATTGGTCTCGGGCGAACTTGTCGAGGACAACCTCGGCGCGCAGGACACAACTCTTACAAAGGACATACAAAAGGAATCTAGTTCGACGACGACTTGTTCCGTGCCACGAACCCCCTTTCGGAATAGCAGCGAGAATAATATCCAGTCAGCTTCAAGGCCAATACTAGACAAAAATCTCAATTCGTTATCTTTGCATCTCCAGGCAGCGAATGATCTAATGGGAACAATCGCAGACGACAAACACCCTATCCTACAACTGCGGCTAGGTAGTGATGCAAAACGAGCCATTACCGCGGCCGTGAAAGAGACGATTGATGACAACATGACAGTTGTGAAAATGAGACACACGAGCCTAAATTCCAGCTGAACTCGGTCTTGAAATGGAAAAGAACTTGCCAGATGAGTTCAACCACAAGGAACATATCGAGCGGGAGAAGCTCGAGAACCCTAACCACTACAGTGGCCTCTTGGAGAGAATGTACGGGGAAGATTGCAATCCAGTCACGGGGACTGCCAACACCAGGAATAGAAGAAAAAGGCGGGAAGAAAAGGACCGGCCTCCAGATGGAGAGCGTGCTTGGAATTAAGAACAGTGTGGCCAATAGTCCAAACAGTTCAGTTCAGTTCAGTTTAGAGGGTCAAACTGAACTGAACTGAACTGTCGAGATCTCAAACTGAACTGATAACATTTGGCTTGAACGGACTGATAAACGGACTGATAAACTGATAAACTAATAGTTTGTACACGTGATTCCATATGGTAAACACCAATAACTTTAACATGCAATAACTCAATAGTCAACACCTCAAATAACTTAAAACCAGTTCAAATTGCAGTCCATGATCTGCCGGATACAGCTAGACTAGTATGGCTGAAGTAGAACTGATCTATCAATGACCAACAGGTCAGAAGGCACTTCAAGATCATCCACATATGGTATGCTCCCCCGGCACAACCACGACTTGCAACACTCAATCGCCTGAATAGACTCGATGCCTAGCTGATTCCTGCGGTCAGTAAGAGTGATTTTACAGGCTGAAAAGAGACGCTCCGGCTCTGCTGACATTGCTGGAATCGACAACATATCCAAGGCCATGCGGCTAAGGTTTGGGTAGGTTAGTCGTTGTGTTGGTTCCAACCACCAAGACCGTGGGTCCCTGACTTCTGGAAGTGTTGGGGCTTGTAAATACTTTGCATATTCATCGCTTTCAAGGCCGGTTTGTTGCTTCCGCTGAATATATTGTGTAAAGGCATTAGAGACCCCAGAACTTGCTGACTCTGTTGCCTGGGATGCTTGTGTAGGCACTGAAACTGCAGTCGACTTGTAATCTGACTCCCAGAACTCCTGCATCTTTGCCTTACAATCGGCATGCCATTCCTTCTGCCAGCTACTTTCAATATAATCCCATTTCCATTGTGGACATAATACTAAGGCTGCAATATAAACAGGAGATCTGTCAGTGAGGGTGTAGTACATATCCAACTTGGCCCACCCTGAGTTGCAGCAAGGACTCATAAAAGGATCCTCAGCATATACTCGCTTAGCGTCTTTAAACTGCTCAAGCAGAAAGTCCATTGATAGCAGTACTTTATCGATTGTGTCACCACGAGCTTCTGTAGAAAGTGTGGCATGGTGAAAAGACAGGAGAAAGTCGTGAAGCTTTTGAAGCTCAACCCAGTCCTGCTCTGACAATAAGTCGCAGTCGTTTTCTTTATATTGATGACAATAGAGATTGACAGGCGTTTTGAGAATTATAGCAGTGCTGATCATTTTATACCAAGAGTTTCACTGTGTCGAGTTGTCCCGTGCAAGGTTACGGCCTCCGCTAAGCTCTTGAAATCTAGCGATCCGTTGCGGGCTCCTTTGTATATGAACTACAATGTTATATAGCATGCCAAGTGGCCCTTTCTTTCTCCACCGTGCCATTTCAGCTTCTGTGGGGAGCGACAATAGCTTTGTATTGTTCTCTTCTGCAAGAGCTTCATCCTCAGTTTGAAAGAGAAAGGCTTGGGCTGCCAGATTGATGATGTGGCCATTGCACCGAAGCCTGTGAGAAAGTGGGTTGTAGTAGATTTTGTATTGATCCAAGAGCACTGTAAAATGAGTTAACTAAAGTCTAAAACATGAGAATGATTTATACAGACTCTCAGATAAAGACACCATCATTGTATCATTATTGTCTGCATTGTCCATTACAAAGTATCCAACCTTTGAAGCAATCCCATAGTCATTAATGACCTGCATAATGATCTGTGCTTGATTCTCTGCTAAACTCATTCTTAGTTAAACAACGATTAGAGCATTTCAAAGTACTAACCTGAATGTTTTCCCTCTATCTCCTTTAAGGCAAGTACAGAATGTGTCAACTCCCCATTTTCACTGATATAATGCGCAATCATTCAAGAATCGCTAGGGAATTAGGGGAGGACCAAAGATTTACAGTAAAGTGGACTTTGGAGAGTGCCAATTGGACCTTCTGTTGTATCCATAGTCGCTCATTTTCATACATACGGAGCGTCCACGCTTGTATTGACATATGCGAATCAGGAAGCCAAACATCCACTTCTGGATTAAGGTAATGAAGAAACACCCTAAATTCCTCTCAGATAACTGCTTGTAGTGATTTTTTCGCTACAAGCAGTTATCCACCGCACGTAAAGGTGCTCTAGTACTGCAGGATCCATTGTATGCTCCATATCTGGTTCTTCAGCTAGGTGTTACGATTACAGCTTACAGCTTGTACAGTTATTATGGTTGTTATAGGCATAAGGGGATTACGGGTGCAGCCTTAGCCACCAAGGCTACAACCGCTAAGCGGACAACTGTATATTACAAGGAATAGCCTCACCTTCCTTCCTTCTTCTTCTTCTCTCTTTAGATTCAATCTAGCTTACTTTACCCGGACTGGCACCATGACCTCCATGACCATCGTAACATAAGATTGAATCCCACCTTTCTTTTGCTCTCTGAGCCTGAACCTTGATACTGAAATTTGAATTCCCTTCTTTGGAAACCCTACAACAATATCCTAAAGTTGATTCCAGAACACCACAGAACACACCAGAACACCACAGAACACCACAGCCTTCATAGATCAGACCTTTCACAACGCTCCCTCAACAAGGAATATAGCTGTGAGGGAAGTGCGCTCCTCTCGAGTGGCTCCTACAGTCGACAAACTGCGCAATAGGGCCTTTGGCAATACGAGTCTGATCTACTGAATACAAAAACTGAAAGAATAGCAAAGCTGCTATGGCACACATGGCCAAAGAAAAAGCCAAAATGGCTGACCAAAACCCAGAAGATTATGAGTCTATAAATGAGAAAACAACCTTAGCATATGAGTCTGAGAAGAGAGATGAACTTCAAGATGACTTGCTCGAAGCCCAAGAAGATTTCAAGAGGTTGGGCAAAACAGCTCAAGAAAGACACCAGTCTATACTACCAAACGGCCACCAGATGAGGACTTGGAATGTCAACACCTACACTGAATTCCAAAAGCTGTCACCTAGCAGCCAAGACTACGCCTGGTCAATGTTAAAAGCCATTATGAAGGACTACCTCATTGTCGGTCAAGCTTCTGATGCTACTATTGCAGAGCGAAACAGCTCCAAGAAGAAATTCAAGACAAGGATGAAAAGATTACTGAACTGCAAGGCATTCAAAAATATCTTGAGAATACAGCTTGTAAGGATGCCTTCTCGTCTCTCATTCTAGGGAGTAGACTCCGGGTAGCCGCGGGGTCACGTGTGATCATTTGGGTGGCCTAACCGAGTCGGAACTGAGTCGGATGGGTTTCGGATACTTGAGAAAATCGACTGACAGGGGTTCCCCATCATCTTTTTTGTATCCTTCGTAGTAGACCTATAGGATAGCATCCGTTTAGCCTCTGACTCGCACTCTCATATGCTATTACTGTGAGCTGGGTGCCCTGTGTCATTACATTATACAAAAAAGATCACGCCTGCCGGGGACGGCCGTACTTAAATAATATCCCACACCGGAACGACTCAGGAGAACTACCGTTACACCATCGACTACGACTCGGTGATGTTTCGGAGGAGAGACCTGACGACTTCAAATAGCCGTGATTCCAGAGATCTCACGGACAGCCAGTGGATCAGGGTTTAATTCTTCAGAACAAGCTGGTAAAGTCGCCGACGCGTTGGCGCCAAATAGGATACGAGATCCTTAAGAACTCCCTCATAGCACAGAGGAAATTGTGGACAAGAGCGTTGATAGCTATGAGCTACCGGAAGTCAAGCTCTTTCGTATCGGTACTGATACACACCCGAGGCCATATGTCGAAAAAGCCGACATCAAACATACCCCAAGACAACGACGGTCAACTGCCCAGAATGACTACCAGACAAACCACCGCTGCAGCTACGACCGCTGGGCCATCCGAAGACATCCCGAGTCGAATGGACCACCTCGAAGCACAGATACAGGAGGTCAAGGATCTACTAGTTATCCTGTCGGCATCTCAGACCAGAATCCCGTCCACACCGCCGGTGGACGCCCCCATACCCACAGTCGAAGTTACGGAGCAACGAACGCCTCGTACACGAAACACCCCCGAGACAGTTCAATTGCCACCTCTTCGGAACACTCGTTCTCCCTCAATTCCAGGGTCATCACGAATGCACACCGAGGACCCTCCGAATCGCTATAAGAAATCAACCATCTCTGAGAAAATCCTTCCTCTCAGCGATGGGGTAGAACATACCTTCTTACAATGGAGCGCTTCGATTCGGGACCGACTCGTAGTCAATGAGGACCACTATCTTACTGACGTCTCGAGAAGAGCGTTGATATGGGGAACACGACCAGCCTGGCAAAGACCTACCTAGAGCCCCAATACCTGTCCGCTACGCATGGGTTCCGCAGTGCTGAGGAGATGATGGATCTTCTAGGTTCATACTACCTCACAGGCAACGAGACGGAGCAGGCCAGGAACCTCTTCGACGACCTGCAAATGGGAGAGAAAGGGCATGCTAGCGAAACCTTCCCAGAGTTCAAGGCTCGTTTCCAAAGTGCAGCTATCACAGGACAAGTCTCCGAGTCGGAATGGTTTCGGTACATGTGGAACAAGTAGACTCCTCAATTCCGCAGCCGCATCGCGATCATCAAAAACCAATGGAAGGGAGAATACCAGACCATGGTACGAGAACTTACCGCCTTCGACCAGGAACGGCGCCGGAACAACGAATTGAATCCGCTACCCGCTCTCGCAAGGACGTCCACACGTATCACAGATACGGCAAAGGCGTCATCAGCGTCGAAGCCGACTCGAGCCACATCCACTCTGTTCACCCGAACCGCGTTCCTCCCCAAGCCAGCCATACCAGAACGTCTGAGAACT